ACCCAAGCGGATGCTCAGGGGAAGAGCCAATCCACCAAAGTGCCCATCCCCGAGCCATTTGACAACCCAATTCCCAAAATTAGGCTAAAAATGCCAAATCGGTGGGCATCGGGGGGGGGGGTAGACAACACAGCAGTCTGTTGCCCATTCCCACCAAAAGCACCGCACCCGATTTCGTTGTGTATGTTTTTCCGTGGCGATCTTATGGGCAGACGCCGGAGTGGGACTTACCGTAATCTGGGTAAGCTTAAAAATAATGGTGTTCTCACGTAAAAAGTAGGAATCATGGCCGGGGTTTTCTTCAGAGATCTCTGCTAGCCTGCCCCTTCCTTCCCCCAATGATCTCTGCTAGCCTGCCCCTTCCATTCCTAAATGATCTCTGCTCGTCTGCCCCTTCCATTCCCAAATGATCTCTGCTAGCCTGCCTCTTCCATTCCCAAAATATCGCTGCTAGCCTGCCACTTCCATTCCTAAATGATCTCTGCTAGCCTGCCCCTTCCATTCCCAAATGACCTCTGCTCGCTTGCCCTTTTCAGCTTTTTCGCACCCTAGCCAATCTTGACTTCTTTTATATTTTGGATTACGATACTGGAAATCCAAGGGAATAATCTGACTACAGTAGTCAGGCATCTCCCGAAGATGGCGATCTAGCAGAGATCCTTCAGGAAAATAATTTTCCGAAAATTTGTGCTGATTCGTGAATTCACGGAGGTGTCTTCCCCGAATTCAAAGTTCCTCCTTTCTACATATTTCTCAATTTGACGTCGTACATTGTTATTGTTTATCGCCTTTTCTTTTTCCGGTGACTACGGTAATCCCAATATGGCGGCTAATCCCGGCGAATTCGTAATGGGCCTGATGATTTGGGCGGGTCGTAGTATATAACCGTAAAATCTACACAAAATATCATAAAAACTATCCAGTTCTTCACGCACTAATAGAGTTTTCATGATTTCGGTGCTACTTGATTATAAATTGTTGTCGCTATCTTTTTGCAGTTCGTATTTCTCAGTTAAAAAGCTGAAAAATAAATCCCAAAATCGGCTTAGGCTGCTCTTGGCAAATCCTTGTCTGGATTTGTCCAGGGTAACCGTAATTTTTCTTTTTTTTCTACAGGAAATAGAGCTTAGCTGAGGGCATGCTGATTGTCCGCGCACAAAAATAAGGTTAGAGACACGGGAAGTGCGCAATATTTTGCGTAATTCCAGGAGCTGACAATCCTCTTTTTTAGAAATGCTATGCCTTGAAAATCGCTTAAATCACTCCAGGCACCTAAAAAATTTGTAAAAACTTCAGTATAAATGCGCAATTCTTATTTTTTTAAAACCTGTTATCGAAGATGCTACGGTTCCTCAGAAACTCATTTTTGTACGAACATGAAGCAACATGAACTTTTAACAACTTTGTTGTTAAAGTCCTGAATTAGCTCGAAAAATGCGACTACGAAATTAGCAGCAAAATCCGTAGTTTTCACTTCTTTCAAAAGAGTGAAAACTATTTAAGCTAGTGTAGATTTTCATTAAACTCTTATTTTGTGGAAACCCCCTCTAAAAGTAACATTCGCTTTTCAAATTAGTCTGCGCCCCGTGGACTCCCAAATTTCCCACCTGGACCCAAAATTTGATTTGCTTTGTTACCCTCGGAGTTCCATTTTTCCCTAAAATTTCTAGGGAAGAAGCCCCGTGAACTCCAATTTTTCACGCATTGGAAGATGTTGAGCGCCACTCACAAATATTTTTTACAGAATTTTTGGAGTCCTTTCCATCCTTCGAGGAACTTCGGAACGTACGGCTGACTTGCTACTTCCGGTCTCTTACCCCTTTCGGGGGGCTTATTTTCAAAAAATGTCGAAATTCATAATGTCGGAATTTCATAATGTCGAAATTTCATAATGTTGAAATGTCAGAATGTCGAGATGGCTTGAGCTAAATTCCCAGTGCAAGTCCCCCGAATTCTAGGCAAAAAATGTTGTCGTGAAATAAGATAAAAAAATAGAATATGGAAAAAAAATTTTTGGCTGGGATTTGGCGGTTTCACCGGTAATATTAGCCTATGTAAATTTCGACATTCTGAATTTCGACATTATGACATTTTGACATTATGAAATTTCGAGATTATGAAATTTGGACATTATGAATTTCGACACTATGAATTTCGACATTATGAAATTTCGACATTGTGAATTTCGACATTGTGAATTTGACATTATGAATTACGACATTATGATACCAAATCCTATCGGGGTTATTTTAAACTAATATTATGGCCCACATTATCGAATTCCCGCAAACTTGGTCAGCGGGCAAATCCGAAGCCATTTCTCCTTAAGGGAATCTGCGCGGACCACTCTCGGCGTCTACCTGGGTCCCTAGGGGCCGAATAAACGTTCAGAGCCGAGACCTCCAGCTATCCAAAAACGTTTCAGATTCACGAGGTAGCAATGCAATGGTTCGATCGCCGGAATCCGGCTAGCCAGCCGTGTTTTGAGCCGGAATCCCTTAATGCCTTACCAAATTATCCAAAAAAAATATAGCCAGCTTGCCTTAGAAATGTACTTTTTATGCCTTCAATTTTGGTTCTGATGTGTTGCGTTTTTAAATATTCACCCAAATTAATGATTTTCCTGGGCGGCGTTGTGTGGTGGTGCCATTATGATAAAGTATTTGTCTTACTGAAATCTTTAGACCTCTTGCCTTAACCCCCGCTACAGGTTCCCGTACTCCCAGCATACTCAATGGCACAGGTGATGAGCGCGGAACTCTTCGTGATAAAATTAATCGGCGATACGGTAAGGGTTTTCAATTTTGAAGTTCTTCCTAAATCGTTTCCTGGGAGATCGCGACAAATGCTTGTACAGAAAAAAAATGAGAGAGAGAGAGAGAGAAAGCCAGAGACAGAGAGAGAGAAAAGAGAAGAGACTTTGCGCATGCCTAGATTTTCAGAGAAAGGCGACATCCTGGCGAGATGGAATCCCAATGAAGAAGTATGCAGAAACGGGACCCCGGTCCCGTCGTATGATATGTACGACCCGACCAGTTTGTTCAAGCGCAGTACTGGGAACTGGGAGAAACGGTAAGATTTTAGAGCTTTTTCCACTTCTTTTTCGTTCCAGTTATTACGCCCTCAAACACCTATTGGAGGTATCGGCCTTGGCAAGGGCGGTCTGCTGCTGCACCAAGTCGCTAAAGCTACGGTGGGAATTGCTTCCGTCGCTCTCTCCTCCCACTCACTCCACTCCCCTCCCTCTCTATTTCTCTCGCTCCCCTCCCTCTCTCTCAATCCTGTCCCTCACTCTCCCAACTGACAGATTCCTTACTCGGAAAACCGACCAGCCTACGATGGCGGCCGCTTCAAAGTCCGCCTACAACGCGTACTCGCTGGACAGCCTGGAGATCGGTCGGCTAAAGATGTGACCGTTTTAAAGGGACCAGAAAGCCAAGCTTTGACCCCAAGGTCTAGATCCTTTCCTGACGGTCCACCAGGCAGTGGAAATCTGAATTTTTATGGCAGTTTTCGAGAGAGAAAAAGAGCGGGAAACAGAAAGGAGGAGAAAGTGTTCCCAAGCAATAGAGAAAAAAAGATATATTTTCAATATTAATTTCAGGAATGGGTCTGCAGCTGCAAACATGACTCAAGCCGCGGCGAACTGCAATGCTTCGACAGCCTCGGCGGCATCCAGGCCGGCCAAGATCCCTACTAGCTCAGAAAGAAGCCTCCCCACGACGAACAACCCAAAAACTCTTCTATCAGATCCAGCAAAAATGCTATGCTATAACCGGGATACTGGACTGCTGACTTCAGCACTACTTTCTTACTGTTGTCGCCTGTGTATAAAGTGTTTGAATATTTTTCCTGGCAGAGTTTGGCTGGTTGGATTCGCCTTCAAATCACTCAGAGTACTTGAAACGCAAAAACAAAAATTCTATTCCAAATTCTTTTTTGCTGCAGTACCTTAGAAAGAATTTATCCCAATATCAGGATAAATAAGGCACCAAGCACTGGAAACCGGTCGAAAAACATAAAACCTATTACAAAAAAACAATACTTATCTAGGAAATTTAAGCTTTAAATATGCATAAAATGTACAATACTACAGTATCACAATCACCACAGCAAGCTCAAATAAATTTGTAAGGATTAAGGATCGATCTGGGGTCGAATACGGCCTTCAACGCCTTCACCAGCTGAAACTACTCAGGCGGCTTCCCGGGGGTTGCATACGGACGTTTGAGTTGGCCTGGAAAATATACATGGGTCGACGCTTGCATGCGCCGCATAAGCGTGGCCGGCCGCGCTCTTCCGGAGCGTTGGAGGCCGCGCTGCATGCGGCGTGCCTCTTAATAGACCACGCCGAAATGAGCGTGGCTCGTACACTCGACGCTATACCAGCTTCTAAATACAAAATCTGAGATGTTTCCAAGGGACGCTGAAAGCAAAATCGATCCGTTTTCGATTTAATTAAAAAGAAGTTGAATGACGATCTATCTTGTCTATTTATCAAAATTTAAAGATGACCCTGATAGTTATGTATCGGTAATTCATTTTTGCAAATCGAAATCATAAATAATGTCCTTTAAATTTTGTGATTTGCATCTGGAGATCAAATCTTGCGCCGTGCGAAAAAAGCACGTATAAAGCGCCGCACAAGCGTGGTCCTCCACGCTCCGGAAGAGCGTGGCCAGCCACGCTTATGCGGCGCATGCAAGCGTCGACCCATGTATACTGGAAAATATGGAGCTGGGCAGGCTAACAGAGAACATTTGGGAATGGAAGGGGCAGGCTAGCAGAGATCATTTGGGAATGGAAGGGGCAGGCTAGCAGAGATCATTTGGGAATGGAAGGGGCAGGCTAGCAGAGATCATTTTGAAATTGAGGGTACGTACCAATCCCATGCTCCGCCGAAATCGAGCCGCCGTGCTTCACCACCCACTCGTAGACGAAAGGGTAGAGGGCTGATGGACCGAGAGCGAGGGAGAGAGAGAGAGAGAGAGAGAGACCTACACTTGATACAACTCCTCCGCTTTCTCCTTGGTCGACGTCAAATTCAGATGGCTATTCCCATCTCCCATATGCCCGTACGTCACCACCCGTTTCGCGACGTTGCCCACACGCTTTTGGACCTCTGAAAATCGTTTTTCTTTCTTTATTCCTCTTTCTCTCTCTCGCTCTCTCGCTCTCCCTCCCTATCTCTCTCTACCTTCAGTCAGTCGATAGAAATGATCAAGTGGCAGCGAGACATCGTGCCGTTTGCCTTGGCCATCCATCGTCAAAGCAATGGTAGCCGATTCCCGGAGCCGCCACATTAGACGAGCTTCTTCGTGGGATTGCGCCTAGATGCAATCGGTTTAAGATGGCTGGGAAGCCCCAGAATCGACCCCTTCTTCTGGCTAGGTCTAGACAGCTGCGCGAGGCGCAAAATGACGCTTCGTACGCCTATGTTGAGATCCTTTAGGTCAGTTAAAAGCTGCTGTTATGGGTTCTCGCGTAGCTGACTAGACCTAGTGGATGGAGATAGGAATTCCTGGCTTCCTGGAGCTCTTTAATCTGGGTTAGAAACCCACTTGTGCTCCATCCATTGCTAGACCCTGAAAGACAGTGTTCCAGAAGTTGTCGACTTTTCGCGGTCGTAGGATTCAGTGGAACCTAAAAATATTCAGAGACTTTACTCTCTCTTTCTCTCTCTCACTCTCTTTCGGTTCTCTCTCTATCTCTCTCTCTTGCTCTCTCACTAGGGTCTCTATCAACAAAGTGAACGGCGGATCGATCAGACACATTGTCCATTCAGTTATCCTAAAATGAAATACGGCGTGCCAAGCTACCGTAATCCCACCTTCAAAACCCCCATCGTCCCCCTGTCCATCATCTCAAAAGACGACAGAATCTCGCCCAACTTTTCCTTGGCGATGCGCGGAATTTTGCGGCAGTCATTGGACGTGTTGGCGCCTGAAAATGGCAGCAGGTTCAAAAAAACAGGGCTTAAAGAGACTGAAGCTACTTCGTACCTATCATAGCGCTCTGCACGCTCAAAGGGCGGGTGACGCACGTCATCTTGATGCCGGTTATGACGCCGAGTTGGCCTTCTGACCTAAAAAAAACGATTGACAGCGTGAGAGAAAGCGAGAGAGAGAGAGAGAGAGAGAGAGAGAGAGAGCGCTGACTTTTAAAAACAAGTGGTGAGAATGAAGCGAAGTATTATCCTTCCGCAACCCACTGCCAAGCTCTAGGATCGATCCCTTGGAATCTGGGCAGACCTAAAAAGCACCTAAAATTGTGAAAATTTGGCAGATTTACATACCACTGTCAAGCCAAGCACATGAGCGTGTAGACTACCGTAGCGAAGCAGCCGGATACCGCCGGCGCAAGTAGCCAGGTTACCCCCGATCAGGCAGGAACCCTGAAAAATAGGTCCCTCACGCTCTCCCTCTCTCTCTCTCTCTCTCTCTCTCTCTCTCTCTCTCTGTCCTTATCTCTCTGTCTCTCTCCGACCTTGGCCCCCAGATCAAACGGCATCATGTAGTTCCACTTGGCCAGCTTGTTCTCCAGCTCCTCAAGAATGTGGCCGGCGTCACAGGAAAGGACACCTAGAGGAAAACATTACGGTAGAATAGTCAAATCCCGATGTACCTGTATGATCGTCAAATTTAAAGTGTTTGTCCATCTTCCTCACGGAGAGTACGACTTCGTCGTGGACTGGGATACTGGCGCCGACTAGCCCGGTGTTTCCTGCCTGAAATTTGGAAATCCTGAATGGCTCAGCTTCTTAGGTCTCTAGGTTTTGACTTCATAGTCCCTTTAAAATGGTCTGTAGCATACTTCCAATGGATTTTGGTTCGCGCGGCCTTTTAAAATAGACCTGTGGAACAACAGCAATCCTCCGATCGTGGCAATGACGCAGAATGGCGGAGACTTCTTTGGACGTAGAGGGTTGTAGGACGCACTGGGAGGCTCCTAAATGATCTCTGCTAGCCTGCCCTTTCCATTCCCAAATTATCTCTGCTAGCCTGCCCCTTCCATTCCCAAATGATCTCTGCTAGCCTGCCCCTTCCATTCCCAAATGATCTCTGCTAGCTTGCCCCTTCGATTCCCAAATGATCTCTGCTGGCCTGCCCCTTTCATTCCCAAATGATCTTTATTAGCGTACCTGTATACCATTTTGACCAATCACTGTTGTAGGACTCCAGATTTTCCGTCAGAACCCTTTCTTTGCCGACGATGGCCTCGAAGAATTGCAGATCCTGGCCGTTCAGCCTGAAAAGCGCTAGCATCGAGGAGATAGAGCGTCTAGGAGGACAAGATATGCTAGAGAGTGAGAGAAAGAGAGAGAGAGAGAGAGAGAGAGAGAGATCCCGCACCTGGCATAATCTGGATCCCGTGCGATGATCTTGGCGGCTCCCCGTCTTTGTATCCCGCTTCTGGTCGCCTTTAGCATGTCCTGGAACGTTTAGGTCGTTATTCGGTCGCCTAAAGCCGCAAATTCGACAAGGTCACACACAACAACACTACCGAGAATCGCGAAAATAAATAGCGAGACGGCGACTGCGAACGCCCGGCTTGCTCCTGATCAGCGTTCGTCCTGATGATCGATGGACCGTCCGCGTCCCGACCAGTCCGGACCCGTATGCGGCTCCGAACGGCTCGGGACCCGGAAGGACGCGGACGCAGTGGAGGCTGGAGGGTCCGCCGGACGCCGGACGCTCCGCGATGCAAATGACAGAAATGTACGCTAATTGAAGCGCCTACATTGGATGTAACAAACCTAATTTAAATATTTGGTGTTGACTCTAGAATGAACGAAAAATAATCCACATTTGTCATGTGAAAGCGTTAAAGGGGCTCCGCAATCTGGTCCACGCCCCCCCCCCCGCGTTGATTCCTGGCAAATAGCCAGATGCGACCGCGTCGCATGCCCTTTGGCCCGTGTTTGGGCGCGAAAACGCTTGCATTTAAAATTTTGACACTGTTTCTGGAATTCTCACCGCATTTTGACCATTCTAGACGTTTTAATTATGAAAATTGGCCAGATAATCAGCGAGATCGAGAGATTGGATGCTAGAAGGCATCACGGCATGTAATCGCCGCGCACCCAAAAGGTCGTTTTCGCCCCGAGAATATTTCGGTTTTACACAAATATTGCGTGCGTTTTTTGCGTTTTTCTTTCTTCAAGGTAACTTTATGTGGAAGGGCGCTCGATTCATTGGGCCTAGAAGGGGTTCCAGGGGGGAGAGTCGCGAAGCGGCTCCTCCCCCGCTATATCCTATCCTATAAGCGAGAAAAGTATGTGTGTTTTCTGTCCGGGCGGTTTCTCGGCCGTCAGGCCGAATACCGCGCTGATTTTTGGCATGGAGGTGAAGAAACACATTCGCCACAAACGGTTTTTTGGATTTTTTGAAATTCCTTCATTTAACAATTTTACCAAGCAAAAAAGTGAAAATCCTTAACAAAATGGGCGACGAGCCGTGGTGTTCGGGCCATAACTCGAAGTACTGATGGAATTTCGGTATGTAATTTGGACCACTTATGTATTCGATGGTGGGGATCACGCGCATCTCATTATTTTCACAAATTTTCGGCGCACTCAGACTAAAAAAGTTAATTTTGTAAAGTTACCAGAATAACCCCGACCGGGCGTGACGCGAACCCCCAGGGCAGAAGAGGCCTTTCCCGCCACCCGTCGCAATGCCCCCGTTGGTATAGTGGCTTGGCGCCCGGTCTACCACGCCCATAGTCGGGGGTTCGGATCCTCGGCAAAATTAGCTTTTTGCTTTTTGATATTTCAACAACAAAACTTATTTCGAGACTCTCGGTATCCGAAATTTAGGCCAGGCCCTCGCTTTAGCGCCGCAGGTCAAAAAAAAGTCCCTTGCCCTGGCTCTCGCGCCGCAGGGCAAATGCTAGAGAAAAACCAGTAGCTAGCGCCGCAGGCCAGAGAATGGTTCATAAAGTCAGGCTCTTGCGCCGCAGGCTTGAAAAACGGAAGGAGATTATATGGTTCCTAGACGGGGGCCAGTGGAAAGGGCCGCGAAGCGGACATTTTCTCACTGGTATATATATATATATATATATATATATATATATATATATATATATATATACAGGGTGTCCCAATAAAAAAGGTCACGCTGGCATTTCGCCATTTCAAATCTGTTCGTTCTGAAATTTTGAACAGAGCTGCGGAAGGGAATTTAAAATGTTCACAGAAACTTTCAGCCCGATCGGTACAGTAGTTTTCGAGTTATAACAAAAATACTACTTTATCAACACTTTTGCTTCCATTTTTCGGCTATCTTTTTGGACTTTGCATCAATTACCATCAATTTCGACCCCAAATCCCTCATTCTTCTTAACATCGGGGATGATAACACCTTGTTAAAATTACTTAAACAACCTATTTCTAAGACGAATTTTTCGAAATAAAAAATTTTCTGGGGTAAAAAAGGGTCGGCGCTTCATTTTTGCCATACATTCCAAGTCTCAATTCCGGCGAAATCCAGGTTAAAAACGTAAAATAAAGTTTATTTTTGCTATAACTCGAAAACTACTGTACCGATCGGGCTGAAAGTTTCTGTGAACATTTTAAATTCCCTTCCGCAGCTCTGTTCCAAATTTCAGGTCGATCGGATTTGAAATGAGAAAATGCCAGCGTGACCTGACTTTTATTGGGACATTCCTGATACAGGGTGTCCCAAAAGCACCCTCTAGCGGCGCGCAGACGTGTCCGATTCACGCCTTTTAGGTATCTATCGAAAGCTCTCGAAAAGCCGAGAAAACATGGAGGGTTCATTTTCTTTATTATGTATTTTATTGGCGAATTTTACCTCCAAAATCCATGAAAACGGCAGATTTACGCGAGATCCGCATGCTATTTGCGAAATTCCCCATAATGAAAAGATACCTGTTTTTATGGAAAACGCGCTGAATATCGGACGAATCAGAAGAAATCTTAGAAAATGAAGCCCGCTTGTTTCCTCGCCTTTTCGCGGGCTTTCGAATGGTATAAAAATCATCCTGATCTGAGCTTACCACGGACCGCTAGAGGGGGTGCTTTTTTTTGGGACACCCAGTATATAATATCTGCTGCTAATTATTATTTATTCGTGCTGGCAATTTTTATTATACATCATTTTGAGCTATAATCAAACCTTTGTATCTTTTTTTATTCAGAATCCAAAAGCGTTGAAAAATTCCGAGGAAAGTGCGAAAATATCGAAATCCTCCGTAAACGAGTAAATAATTAAAGAAACATCTAGTATGATGCTCTCCTCAAGAAAAAAAACCGTTGCCATTTGCCCTAATCAACAGTCGACGCGGCACGAGCCGCAATCGCATAGAGCACTCGCCCGTACCCCGCGACTGGGCGGCCTATAGCCAGGGGCATCCCATCCACACATCATTTCCCGCACTGAATTCACGGGAAGACGTTTCGCACAAAGCGAAATTTTAATGAAAGTGAAATATAACTCTCCTATATATATATATATATATATATATATATATATATATATATAAAGGTTGTGGTGTCTGTCTGTGTGTCTGTCTGAAGCCGAATTCAACTCGAAGGGGAAAGGAGCTAGAGCTTAGCTCTCTTCGGATTCAGGTAGAGCAAAGTTCAAAGGCATTCACTTCCGTCCGTCTGTCCGGGGATTATCTCGCTAGGCGCTGAATTTTAAAGTACGTATGATACATCATTAGGTGCGCATTGGTCTGGAAATGACTGGACACCTATAAAATTTTACAAAATTAGCAGTTTTCGGCATTAAATGAAGTTTTTGTGAAAACCTCTTTGTTAGAACAAATTAGCCTAGACCGGAAGGAGGGGATTCGACTATATAAAGGGGCAGAAGATGGTGTTTTTCAGTTTTTGAGATCAGAATGCAAGATAATTATGCAAATGTTTAGGATAAAATGGGGTGAGGCGGGGCCAGTCGCGAAGCGGCTTTTCAACGCTGGTGCTTATTTGAAGATGACTGACAAGGAGACGTTTTTGAGTGTCGTCGGGACTTTGGCACGGGACCAAGCCTATCCTGTGCAGAATTTTACGCTGATTCCGAATATGGTTACCGTTTTTGCGGAATAGCCATTTCTCGAAAGTTATGAACGATTTAAACCTCAAAACAGTCCAAAATCGGCTACTTTCAATAGTCATAAAAGGCTTCAAAATAGGTTTTAGACAAAAACAGATAGTACATCTTGTTCAGAAAAAATTCTCTATAAAATGTACCATCTTTTCCAAAATCATTGAAAAGTTGGAAAAATTTGATAAATTGGGAGGTCCATAATTTTACAAAAATGTTCAAAATTCCAGCATTTTTTGAGTTAAGTAGCTTATTTTATAAACAATTTTTTCTGAACAAGATGCACTATCTGGTTTTGTCTAAAACCTATTCCGAAGCCTTTTTATGACTATCGAAAGTAGCCGATTTTGGGCTGTTTTGAGGTTTAAATCGTTCATAACTTTCGAGAAATGGCTATTCCGCAAAAACGGTTAACATATTCGGAATCAGCGTAAAATTCTGCACAAGATAGGCTTGGTCCCGTGCCAAAGTCCCGACGACACTCAAAACGTTTCCTTGTGAGCCGAATCGACTTAGTTGAATTTCCGGTTTAGTCGTATCTGAATAAAACATCTCTAGTATGGGCTCGCTTTTCTCTATGTAAACTTGGTCATTTTCGGCTATTCCAGACTCCTGAACGATGTCTAAAGAGGCGACCTGGCACTAATGAAATATACCATTCGAATCAGAAAAAAAATTCTCTATCAGGGAGGCCATTTAACCCCAATTTAAAATCACAAACCAAAAGGTTCGATTTTTGAGAAAATCGGTTCTAGGAGCCATGGAAAGTCTAAAAACTTTTTAGAGAGAGGCGTTCAGCAAAAACTAATATTTAAGCCTTATATTTTTTTTCTTCAATTTTCTATCGATTGATGTATGTTACATAGCGATTTGCCACCTGGGTCAAAAACACGTCCCTTGTAAGCTGGCCCTCGCCCCGACCCCGCAAGCTGAATTCGGAATTTGCATGCAAAATTTGGCTGCTTCAGAACCATGACTAGAGTGAGGGAGGCCCAGGCTAAAGCCTAGGCTTGCCTAGGCTTCCTCAGACTTTTTTAATTTGCATCACCTATGCAAAGTACGCCTGACCTCTAATTAGTCAGGCTTTAGCTGGAAATTTTTTGTAAAGTCGAAAAATATTCGAAGTTTTGCCGAACAAATAAGGAATTTTTTTTAACCATCCGGGGGGTCGAAGAGCTGTATTGGGTCCAAGAATATTCTACAAAGTTAGGTTACTGTTTTTGACCAACCTAACGGCACGATACGTTGATAGCACGCCGATACACAAAAGCCAAGAGTCGGTTCGAACGGGCGGGGGATGCAATTGCCTCTCCTGACACCTTGCCTCTAGTCGTGGTTAGAGTCAGGGAGCGGCAGGCCTCCTCAGGCTTTCTTGGGCCGAATTGCATTTCCGCGCCTGCCGACGCCTGGCGGAAGCCTAAGGATTTAGGCAAGCTTTTTATGCAATGCGTAAAAACATGTTAATCTGGTTACTGCATCAAAAACGTTCGTATCTTTGACGCTATAACAAATTACAAGGATGCCGATGGTGGGAAAAAGTTTCTTTAGGATTTCCGGGGAAACCAAATTTTTTCCTGGTTTTCCCGGTTGACCTAGTAATCAAATATACAGTGTTTTCACATTGTTTTTAGTAAATTTGAACTATATTTAAAGTAGAAAAACCTTTCAAAAAAGTTAGAAAAATGTTTGAAAAATTCGAAAATTTAGTCATTTGGGTCTTTCCCCCGCTAATCCTAAAGGTTATATAGGATTTTTCGACCTAAAATTAAATTTTTTAATGAAAATGTGGGTAGTTTTTATGCTCAAGACTAGTTAAAAACCATTTAGAAACACATGCGCTATTTAGAAAAAATTTAGGCTTGGGCCGAAAAAATTTGATTCCCCCGAAATTCCTAAAAAACCGGGAAAAATATAGGCAAGATGTCAGGAGAGGCAATTGCATCCCCGCCCGTTCGAACCGACTCTTGGCTTTTGTGTATCCGCGTGCTATTAACGTATCGTGCCGTAAGGTTTGTCAAAAACAGTGTAGAATTAAAGTTGTAAAAAGTCAAAACTTTGTAGAATATTCTTAGACCCAATCAGCAATCAGGCCCGTAGCGGAACCGAAATTTCGGCGGGGGGCATAAGGGTCCTTCCTTATAAATTTTTCAGACCTTGACCGATTTCGGGGGGGGGGGGCCCTTGGGCCCACCCTCCTACGGTCCTGGACCCAATACAGCTCTTCGACCCCCCGGAAGTTTTAAAAATTCCTTATTTGTTCGGCAAAACTTCGAATATTCTACGACTTTCCATAAAATTTCCAGATAAAGCCTGACTAATTAGAGGTCAGGCGTACTTTGCATAGCCTAGGCCTAAATTAAAAAAGCCTCAGGCAGCCTAGGCAAGCCTAGGCTTTAGCCTAGGCCTCCCTCACTCTAACCACGGCTGATAGGAATCGCATTTTTTCGGGGTTTCGCGCTGGCCAATCATGAGAGTCGTAAATGCAAGAAAAACGCATAACTTAGATGCAAATTTCAAAGATCCCATATTAAATTAAAAATGAAAAGTATTTTCGCTATAACTTTCAAACCCGCGGGCCGATCGGGCTGAAACTTTCCTTGTTCATTGAAAATTGGCTTCGCTACCTCTGTGCCAATTTTTAGCTCCATAGGTGCCAGCTGGCTCGAATTTTGGGGGTGAGGGGTCTTTTTTGGGAGACCCTGTACATCTGGTCCAGTTTTCCGACCGATTCCGACAAGGCCGCGAAAGGCCGCATGGGTCATTTTTTGGAAACCCTGAATTTCGAAGATAGGTAGTAGGACGAAGAATTCATAGTCTCCCTGAATCTCCTTGCACGCCATTCGGGGCGTGGCCTTCAAAGCCTGACCGCCTGGGCCGTCTCTCCCCCCCCCACTTTTTACATCTCCATCACGCGGCACAGGGCATTCGCAACACTGCCACGGGACCGACGTTTTTCTTTTGGCGTCGCTGGGCAGTATACAGAGTGGCTGAAAAGTTCCCTCAATTTGTTGTAGCAAGTCAATAGACAGAAAATTCCTAAAATTTGACTGAGGTATGTAACAGAAACGTTATTTACTACGTAATCAACAAATTACGACACAAAAATCCGCAAGAGACAACTTTTCAAGGTGTAGGCGCGTTTGTATCGAAGCGTCTGGTGGCAGCTGTGAAGATTTATTGTGGGGGTTTTGTTTTGTAATTTATTCTTTACGTCCAGATTAAACTATTATTTACCAAGTTCTCTACCTCATTAGAATTTTAGCAATTTTCAGTCCATTTAAAAGTATCAAGAAATTGGGGGAACTTTTCAGCCACCTTATATAAGCCCACGCCGAACTTCTCCAAGCTATCGAGCTTTGCCTTTTGTCCTGCAGCCTTATCAACCCCATCCGCTCCCTACTGATCCATTTTTTCTTGTGCTTATTTTGCGTGCGGAGTTCATGCACGATATCCGTAACTCTTTCCGGCCTGGCTGTTCTTCTCTCCTTGTCTTCGCAAGCACGTCACCTGATACAGACTTTGACTCGGGATGTAAGCTCATGATTGGCAGGCGCGAAACCCCGAAAAAATGCGATTCCCATCAGTCGTGGTTCTGAAGCATTCATGGCCTGTTGAAGCTCCTCGAATGCCATTGGGGCGTCGCCTTGATAGCCTCTCGGCCTGGGCCGTGCCCTATGGGCGGTGGAGTGACGGGGAGTTTGGCTTTCTGGCCGTCTCTCCCAACACTTTTTGCATCTCCATCCCGCGGCACAGCGCATTCGCAACACTGCCACGGGACCGACGTTTTTTTGGCGTCGCTGTGCAGTATATAAGCCGACGCCGAACTCTAGACCCTCATTTCTCCCCGCTATCGAACTTTGCCTTTTCTCCCGATTTCTCCATCCTCTTATCCCAACCCCTGGCGAAAGTTGATGTGGCATAGTTACGTTCGGCATAATTTTATTTGGGATAATTTTAGTTGACATAATTTTCGTTTGGCATATGGTTAATTTGGCCGAATCTTGAGTTGGCAAAATTTCTTTTGGCCGATTTTCATTTGGCACATTTTTCATTTGGCACCAGGGTTAAAAAGCCGCTTCCCCTCTGGGCTTATGAAATTTTTCACTTGTACAATTCGCGCGAATTGCTATGAAAAACAATGAAAAACGCACCTTTCCGTCCCTTATATAGGCTATCTCCACTTCCGGTGCATGTTAATAGTCTCCTACAAGGATGGTAGCCGATTTTTGAACTAAAACTTAATTTTAATTTCAAAAACAACATACCGCCTTTCGTCTAATATAACCCCGGGGTTATATTTTTTCAATCACTTCAGGGGAGCGGGTTTAGAAGGGGGGTTGTAATAGAGGTAGGCTTAGATTTTTTGATAGACGAAAATGGCGAAAATGGGGGTAAAATGGTCGGATTTTGCCCAGAACGCATTTTTTTCGTGATGGGGAGATATTTTTTTAAATATATATACCAAGATTGAAAAGCCGCTACGAGGCTTTTCACTCCTGGCTTCTCTGCGGAGACCTTTTGGTACGCGGTAATTTTGCATGTTGTAATTTCCATGAATATTCTAATTAGGTAAGCAGCTTTACACCAAAGGAATTACGCGAGCAACCGACTCCGCGCTCCAAAAAGCCTAGAATGGGCTGAATTAATACTGGTATGCAAATTAGCCTTTTCATATGTTTTAAAAACGTAATAATAAGGTATAAAACGTCATTTTAGTAAAAAACTGATAATTGCGCAGTAATCTACGCCCTCGAATACCCCTTACCACCTCACTTCTGGACCAAAGAATACTTTCCTTTTCGAGTTTCGATGGAACCCGGTGTCCACAAACACACAGACACTATTTTTATATATAGTAGGATATATAGAATTTTGGATATAAATAAAGTTTTTCAAGTAAATATACTTGATGATTAAATTACTTATTAATTCGCAACCGCTAAGGTAGAGAAGGCCTATCGGATCATTTTCACGTAATAGTTAGAGGGTAAAATCCCACGGGAACCCTATGAAGAATGAAAAATAAAATTTATTTGTGCTGTAACTAACAAACTACCGTAGCTATGGGGCTATCGGTCAGAGGTCTGTTATACATCTGTCCAATTTTCGGACCGATTGGAGGCAAGGCCGCGAAAGGCCGCATGGATCATTTTTGGGAAACCCTGAATTTCGAAAGATAGGTAGTAGGATGAAGAATTCATAGTCTCCCTGAATCTCCTTGCACGCCATTCGGGGCGTGGCCTTCAAAGCCTAACCGCCTGGGCCGTCTCTCCCCCCACTTTTTACATCTCCATCACGCGGCACAGCGCATTCGCAACACTGCCACGGGACCGACGTTTTTCTTTTGGTGTCGCTGGGCGTTACAGGGTGTCCCCCAAAAAAACACCCCCTCCGGTATTTCGCCGACCGACCGCCCCCAAAATCGGGCCAGAGGTGTATCATACCCTAAATCAATAAACAATCATCCGTTGTAGCCCGATTGCTACATTGTTTCTCGAGTTATAGTCGAAACACTCTTTTCTAGGCGATTTTTAAGTTATTTTCGGCTATCTTCTTGTACTTTGCATAGATATGACAGGACTTCCGGTTCTGCATCGTTCATTCCGCTTGTGTTCAGGTTGATTTTTGCTTGTAAAAAGACGTTTAAATCAGCGTTTATTTAGTTAAATTTTTGTCAGGAAAAAAATTTCTAGGGGTAAAAAGCCTTCCGACATCATTTTCACTTAAAGGGGCTCCGAACTGCCAAATCAAAGCCCTTTTGGGAGGTCTCTTCGATTTCTGGCAAATTGCCAGCGGGCGTTGCGGGACGAGAGCCCTCGCCCTTTCGATTTTTGCACGAAGTTTTTTTGTCCGGTTTCTTTGTGAAAACACTATAATTCGCGCATTCTGAGCCCATTTTTGAAATCCTCACTCAATTTTAAATAGTGTTGGTGTTTTAATCATCAAATTTGGCCCAGAAACAGCCGAGAACGTGATTTCTAGGTGAGAACAGGCCATTGCAAATTTGCGAGCTTCCCGCGCCCCAAGGTGTACACTGTACAGAGGTCTCCCACGTACAGGGCTCCGATTTTCGGGCCGTCGCTCAATTTTTGGCAGTTCGTAGCCCCTTTAACGACTCCAGAAAGATGCATTTGGCGGAAATCGTTGAAAGAGCTATCTGAACTTGCTAGAAAAAAATGGGTATGGGGAGTAGGGCACGGAAGGGAAAGTAAATTCTGGCAAAGCCCGAGGGCCGCACATCCTGTCTCAGAGCGACATATCACAGAAAGAATGCATTCTAAAAATCGCACCTTTGAGGCATCTTCTTCGTTTTGCTATCAAAATGTAGGTAATTCTTGCGTCTCTGTACTAGCCACTTTAGCTAGAGCGAGAAAAGCTAAATTCTCCAGCCCATGATTTTTTAAGGGTGAAGCAAACGGATCGCATAACCATGCATTTCATTCCATCGTTTTGTGTAAACATTTTGAAATTTTCGAACGCCCTTAAGCTTTTCCGGACCGTTTGGATCGCTTAACCAAGTTCCCATCATAGAAAGCATCTTCGACATGTGATTGTAGAAATTTGAGACATTTTGTGCTTTTCGTGAAAAAATTCCCGCGCGGCTCAATTTTGGTGGTCGAGAAAACTACGAATAAACCTAGGATCCGATCAGAAATAATTTCATTTTTTAAAAGCAAATCAATTTTCGCGATTTTGCGTTATTTTTGTTTTTTTTTGGTCTTAACTCGCTTCTAACACACTGCCCTTGGCTGCTTTTTTGCCAATGACTTATCCAAATACTAATCTCGGATCCCACACCAGATTCCACCACAATCTATGGTATTTTTGTATTGCTTGCTAAAACGCGCCCCAACGGGGTACTGTAGGTTTCGTTTTTCCCGATTTTCTCGGCTCCCCTAGCTTCGATCCGGTTGAAAATTTCTGGGTTGTTAGGCAATAAGTAGGGGCACCTCACTGCCAAATACGAAAGCGTACTATCCACAAACTTTCATGAAAAAGACTAAAAACTGATTTTTTTTTTAATTCTGCCAAAGAATCTTATAATTTTTTTACTCATTTGTACCAAAAACCGCTATTATTAATTTTACGAAAAGATCGAAGCGATTCCATGGCAAAAACACCACGAAAATCGCAAATTTCGGTTTTCTACAGTAACCCCCGTGGAGCGCGTTATAGCATGCCATCCCAAAATTCCATAAATTGTCGATTTTTCAATTCGAGGGCTAGAGGTGATTGTATCCTTAAAATCCTAGAATCCTTACAATCACCTGATTTCATTTCATCCCGCCTCTTTGCATCTCGCCTACTGCTATTTCGCCACCTCTTATTTCGCCTACATCTTATTTCGCCTACATCCTATTTCGCCTACACCTTATTTCGCCTACATCCTATTTCGCCTACACCTTATTTCGCCTACATCCCATTCCGCCTACATCTTATTTCGCCTACATCCTATTTCGCCTACACCTTATTTCGCCTACGTCTTATTTTGCCTACCTTTCATTTCGCCTATTTTGCATATTACCTTTTTATGCGCAACAAGCTTTAGTATACCTCCAGTATATGGTATTTTGCATGCTGAATAACAGACTGTTTTTTTTAGCTTTTCTGAATCCAATATATAGTCTGGCCTGCTTTATACCGATGTATCTGTCGTACACTAATATGGATAGTTTAACCCTTTTGAGCAAAAGCAAACAGGATCTTTGGAATTGTCAGGGGAAAAGACAAACACTGCTCGTTTCAGCGCGGCGTTGATTTAAAAAGCCAATCCAGCTTTTTTATCATGGAAGAAACCATATACCGAAGCTCTACTAAAGCTTTATGAGCAAAAACAGGCAATATGCATCGTAGGCGAAATGAAAGGTAGGCGAGTTAAGATGTAGGCGGAATAAGATGTAGGCGGAATAAGATGTAGGCGAACTAAGATGTAGGCGGAATGGGATGTAGGCGAAATAAGATGTAGGCGAAATAAGAGGAGGCCAAATAGCAGTAGGCGAGATGCAAATAGGCGAAATCAAGTTTTCCCATTGTAAGATAGCTTGTAAAAATGACTGATTTTTGGTGGTAAATACCAAAGTTACGAGGCAATGTGCAAAACAAGGCCAGAGAACCGATTTTGGGTTCGAGCAGCCGGGTCAATTTTCGAATTTTAAAAATAACAAAAACTCCTTGGATCTTATGGATATGATTACAGCTTTAATGTTATGATTTGCGCCTGTCAAATTCGGAAGCAATCTGATTCAAAATTATGGTGACTTTCAGCTCAAAACCAAATATCACCCTGTTCCAAAATCCAAGTTTAAAATTCTTCTTAAATTTTTTCGACTTGAAATTGTTGTAATCTTTGCATAGTTTTATTGAACTGGCGACGCAGAATTAATTCTCAAAATATCCAGGTGACGCCACCTTCCAAAAATTTTTACGCCCCCTCGAATTCGGTTTATTTCGGTTTTTGGTGAATTTTTCCCGTGCTAACGGCTGGTTAAAAAAATACATGAAACTAGCTTTAGGATGCGCTATTCAAATGGTATCAGATAAAAATAAAACGATAATTTTCAAGGCTCGGCTAAAATTTATAAAATGATGACAAGGTTTGGAAAAAAGCAGGAACGAGCCGTTCTGGAGGGTTCTGAAGATTTCCACGCCCATGCCACCGGATTCATAACTTCCACAAATCGGTTCTCCTCCAAACTTTGCACATAGTTTACGAATATCGAAGTAAGTCTACACTAATATTTTCGAGTCGAACCGATCACTAGAAAAAAAGTTACGGGCAAAAAACGCTTGGTTCTAGAGTTATTTGACAGAGTGTACGACGAAATCCCGGAAGGGTGCTTTTTTCTTCTTTTTTTTGAGACAAGCCCACGCCAAACTCGGAAAACTCACTTTCTGACCTGTTCTTTTTGTTAGGGGGCTGTGGGGGACGTACCCTGCAGTAAACGCGATTAGAATTAGAAAGATTAGAAAAAGCTTACACTCTAGGCTGGCAAGAAAAAGCATCGTGCAATCATAAATTTATATGTTTGTTTCCCTTTTGCTGATCTCTTTATTCCATATTCTTTGTTTTACGAGCCATGTATAAATCCTGAAAATTCGCAACTAATCGCATTTACAGTATGACGTACCCTGGGCGGTCGTCGACTTTCGCAGTCCTCTTGCTGCTGTTCCTCGCCATCGGCGCCCGCGGCGACACATGTGGGTCTTTACGATTTTGGATCTGTATTTGTCCGCAAAGCACAGCAGCGGCGGAGGGAAAAGTAACTAGGCAGACAAAGCCTTTCCATTTTACTTTTTATTTTTCCGCCTTTTACTTTTCCCGATACTTTTCCCGACTAATTCCGTACGGCCCTATAACTTAACTTTTATAGCATTTTAGAAATTATTTAGATGTAAAAAGCGTAAAAATTTTCGCATTATCTGTTTTCGCATTTCGCATGATCTCTTTGGTCAACAATCTAGGAAAAATGACTGCCAAGTAAACTGACGTTCTCAAAGGCTTTCGAATGGTGTAGTGGCATTCGGATACGATGCTTCTACGTCGAGTTAGAGGGTTTTTTATCGGGACACCCTGTAGTACCGATCCTTTTGAACCCTGGCCCCGTCCCAGTTTATGAAACTCTTGACTTCGAATAATGAATTGCGTTGAGAAATCCTGCAAAAAAGTTGCCTCTCTCCCGTTATACAGGGTGTCTCAAAAAAACGACCCATCTGGCATTTCCCCGGGTTACACCAAAACGGACCCAAATTTGGACCAAAGGTGTATCCTACTATATATAAAAAAGTAGTGTGTGTGTGTGTGTGTGTGTGTGTGTGTGTGTGTGTGTGTGTGTGTGTGTGTGTGTGTGTGTGTGTGTGTGTGTGTGTGTGTGTGTGTGTGTGTGTGTGTGTGTGTGTGTGTGTGTGTGTGTGTGTGTGTGTGTGTGTGTGTGTGTGTGTGTGTGTGTGTGTGTGTGTGTGTGTGTGTGTGTGTGTGTGTGTGTGTGTGTGTGTGTGTGTGTGTGTGTGTGTGTGTGTGTGTGTGTGTGTGTGTGTGTGTGTGTGTGTGTGTGTGTGTGTGTGTGTGTGTGTGTGTGTGTGTGTGTGTGTGTGTGTGTGTGTGTGTGTGTGTGTGTGTGTGTGTGTGTGTGTGTGTGTGTGTGTGTGTGTGTGTGTGTGTGTGTGTGTGTGTGTGTGTGTGTGTGTGTGTGTGTGTGTGTGTGTGTGTGTGTGTGTGTGTGTGTGTGTGTGTGTGTGTGTGTGTGTGTGTGTGTGTGTGTGTGTGTGTGTGTGTGTGTGTGTGTGTGTGTGTGTGTGTGTGTGTGTGTGTGTGTGTGTGTGTGTGTGTGTGTGTGTGTGTGTGTGTGTGTGTGTGTGTGTGTGTGTGTGTGTGTGTGTGTGTGTGTGTGTGTGTGTGTGTGTGTGTGTGTGTGTGTGTGTGTGTGTGTGTGTGTGTGTGTGTGTGTGTGTGTGTGTGTGTGTGTGTGTGTGTGTGTGTGTGTGTGTGTGTGTGTGTGTGTGTGTGTGTGTGTGTGTGTGTGTGTGTGTGTGTGTGTGTGTGTGTGTGTGTGTGTGTGTGTGTGTGTGTGTGTGTGTGTGTGCACACACACCCACACCACACACACACACACATACACACACACACACACACACCACACTTATTCTATATATAGTTGGATTTTTTACGGGCGGGGGGGGGGGGAACTTGCACGTTGCAGGCTGGGGGCGGTAAGCTAGATTTACCTCTTCCGGAAATGGTGCACCTTTGGTTACAGGTCGAGTAAGGGATATCTAACTGGCAGATTGGAATTGCCGGCATAACTAACCTAAGGGTTTACCGAGAGCGTTCGTCGAAATTCCACCGCGACAACCTGCGCTTCCCGCGTGAGCCAGGCCATCGTCAAAGCACTACATTTTTAAAGTCTTGGAAGGTGTTCAGGGTGTTCCGAACAAATCATCCTCTTCTAGCGGTCCGGATCAGGCTTTGTTCAGACTGATTTTTAACTATCCTAAAGCCCTTCCAGCACTATAATTAGATCAAATTACTGGAATGCGTTAACGATATAGCATTTGTTAGGCACACGATAGTTGGAATGCTACCAAATTAATATTTTTCAGTTTCCGAGCAGATCGCCAAATACACCGCGACGTGGGCCGAGATTAGCCAGCCTGGATTCGAGGCGATCGAAAAGATGAGGGCGCTCGCTGGCCGAGCCGACTCCGTTTTGGGGTTGGCTGGGCCAGTGGGCTCCCTCATCTCCGTGGGAGTCAAATGGGTTGTAGCCGTGAGTAAAATTTTGACGGCTCGTTAAGAGGTCAACCCCACGCTACGCGGGATAACCAAGCTTTACAATTTTGCTATCCCACCTATACAGTTCTGCTCCTTCTGACAAGGGAATGTTGCGAAGTGAAAGTTGGGCTTTGCAATGCAAGACAGTTCCGCTGATCCCGAATCTGCAATCAGTTGTTGCCGAATGTTGCAGTTGCTAGTAATCCGCTTCCTTTGGCCAGTTGCGCCAGGGGGTTTTCCGGTTCTTTAGGATTCGCAGGGGGAATCCCGGGGGGGGGACCAATTTTTTCCTGGCGGTCCCGGTTGACCTAGTAACCAAATATAAAGTGTTTTCACATTGTTTTTAGCAAAACTTCAACCTATTTGAATAGGAAAAACTTTTTAAAAGTTAGAAAAACGCCTAAAAAAACTTGAAAATTTTGTCATTTTTGGGTCGAAAAAATTGATTTTTCGACCTAAAATTAAATTTTTTAATTAAATTTGCAAAGTTTGTATGCTTAGGAATAGCTATAAACAGTCTAGAAACACTTCCACTATTTATATAAAAAAATCTAGGCTTGTGCCGAAGAAAAAATTTGGTTCCCCCTCCCCCCCGGGAATACTCCTCCCCCAGCGATTCCTAAAGAACCGTTTTTTCTCTAGCTATTGTAATTGTCATACTTTGAGTTTCGCCTGCGTCGCGCGATAGCGGCAATTGGTTTTTTTTCTTGCTAAGCCAGCGTCACAGGGTACTGTGAGTCTCATTTTTAGTTTTATGGACGCGGCGCTCGCTAGCCTAATTGTAATTTTTGACTTCGGACCACGGCGCTAGCTAATGTAATTGTCATTCGTACCAATTTCTTCGTGGACGTTAAAATAATAGGAGGCAAGAGGAGAGTATGAAGGAACCAAACTGCAAATCGCAAAACGATGCTCTCGAGACGTTTCAAACAAGGCGGAGATGTGAGCGGAAAAGCCCTCTTCATGCCCTGGGCACGCCATTCCAGGCTTTAACAGGCAGGCACGGATAGCTTTTGGGCTACGGCAGGCTCCCTTGCACAAGGGGACAGCGCGCTCGCTACGTTTTTGTTCGAAAACGAACAAACTTTTGGACAAAACTGGATTTTTCTCGAAATTTTAATAGAAAAATTAGAAACTCAATCAGATTTAGATATTCTAGACGCCAAGGCGCAGATTTTGGCACCTAACTATCGAAAATCTATTCTGGTACTTTTTTGTGATAGTCTTTTAAGTTCAGTTCAGGATTTTGTGCGGTTTTAAATAGCGCAGAAACCAAGCATTGCCGCTGAAATCTGAGCCTAGATTTGGTAAAATCAAGGTCGATTACCCCCCATTGCCCGAAATCGACGCTTAAAATGGCTCCAAGTGACTGTTTTGCGAAAATGTACGCCAGTGGATCAACCATCTCTTTTTGATCGGGTTAATTTTTCCAGATCCTTATTGTTTTAGCAGTTTTCAATGGCTGGAGCACAGTTTTAAGCCAAACGCAAAAAGCTTGGCAAAGGTTTTGGGGAGAAATAGCGGTTGCACGTTGGTCCCGGGGGTCGAACCCGGACCCTCTGTTCGAGATTTGGGATCGGCGCTAACCGATTGCGCCGCGGCCCCGGGGGGTCCTATCCGTGCCTCCGTGGAATGCCGTGTGGGGGTGGAGCCGGGCAGGGAAAGAATCGGGGAGGGAATCGCATCCGAGAAGGAACCTCCATCTCCTTTACAAGTTCATTTTTGAAGTATTTACAGAGTATTCGAAACATTCAGGCATAACGATCTAGGCAGAAGTTCTGAAATGCCCGAGGCGTTGCTAGGGTATTGCCGAACTTTTACTAGTTAGTTTTACTATTACTTTTACTATTATTAATGAGCGCGTGAAAAATTAAGGATTGAGCCAACGGAATTCCTAACAGATTTTAATTTATTTATCAACCGTCTTAAAAGAGGTTTTAACGGCGTTCCGAAAAAAAGAGCTGGTTGTTGTGACTAGTCTACCCCAGGGCATTGATTTATGTTCTGTACTACCTTGAATTGATGGCAAAACCGTTTCCTCCTGGTAGGTTCGGCGCTGCCCCCATGCGTGCCGGGGTCAGTTTGTGTCAAAGCAAGTTTGGCCTCTGGTAAACTCATAAGATGGTTTTCTCAACCCTAGTTTTTGGGGTCGTGTTTCCTACCCCATTACGCATAACATGTAAAAATTTTGTGAATATACCAGGCTGCTCCGAGTTACTAGGCCCCAGAATATTTTGCCAGAACTTTCGAACACCCTGTAGAAACTGAGGAAATTTGCGAAGTCTAATCAGTTTGATCAATTTGACCGGGGCTTCGAGATATTTGGACTTTTTTGGACTTTTTAATTTTTTTAATTGGACACCACGGGTTGGGCGGCCTTTGTTAAGGCATTTGCCGAAAACTGCGGATAAAATCTTTATTTTGAAAAATTTTCAAAACTCCAGAAAGCTTCTGAAGAACTGTATTATCCATCTGATTCTGACATTCTGAAACTGACTCCAGTTAGGCAAAAAGCTACGCATTACGCCGAAATAATAAAAATAAAAACGCTACCTATTTTTATAAAGATCATATTTAATATTTTTTTTGGTGACGTGGTGGCGTGATTATTTGCCGTCGTGGCGCTCCACGGCCCCTTTCGGTTGGGTGCAGTTGGTTCATTGGCAAACCAGTGGAAAAAGCCCGCTTCGCGGCCCTTTTCCACTGGACCCCGTCCAGGAACGATGAATTCGAATACCTTCTTTTTTTTATCTTCTAATGTGAGTCAAGGAGCCATTCTTTGGCCTGCGGCGCGAGGGCCTAGGCCAAGCACCTTTTCTTTGGCCTGCGGGGCTAGAGCGAGATCCAGGCCTAAACGCGCTAGAATCTTTTTACCTGCAGTGCTAGTTACTGGTTTTTCTCCCAGATTTAGCCTGCGGCGCAAGAGCCTAGCTCAAAAACCCATCCTTTGCCTGCGGCGCAAGAGCCTGGACCAAGGACCATTTCTTTGGCCTGCGGCGCTAGAGCGAGAGCCAGGCCTAAATCTCGCGCACCCAGAGCCTAGAAATATGTTTTGTTACTGAACTACCAAAAAGCAAATAATTAAATTCTCCCAGGATTCGAACTCACGACCATGCGCATGGTAGACCGGGCGCAAAGCCACTACACCATCCTACAGATACGAACAGGCGGCGGGAAAGCCCTCATCTGTCCTGGGGAATGGGGCGGGGAAGGCAAAGAAAAGGGCAACCCAATGATCCCCGGAGGGAGGCCTACTGGTCACTTTACAAAATTCGGTTTTATAGTCTGAATCAGCTGAAAATTTGCAAAGATAATAAGATGCGCGTGATCCCCACCATCGAATACATAAGTGGTCCAAATTACAGACCGAAATTCCATCTGGGCTCTGAGATATGGCCCGGACACCACGGCTCTTGGCCCACTTTATTAAGGACTTTTTATAAAAATGTTCATAAAAACTTCATTTTACAAAATCTGACAAAACGCAGAATCATATATCGGGAGAATTCAATTCTCAATCTACCCTCCAAAAATTAGCGCCCAATTCCATTTGGATCGCGAGATATCCTCTGTACAAACCTTTTTTTGACCAAAATGTTAAGGGTTTTTCACTATTTCGCTTGTAAAATCGTTAAATGAAGGAATTTGGAAAAACCAAAAAATGCTTATAAAGAGGATGTGTTTCTCCACCTCCATGCCAAAAATCAGCGCGAAATTCGGCCTGACGGCCGAGAAATCGGCTGCACAGAAAACAAACATACTTTTCCCGCTTATAGGATAGGAAATCCCGCCTCCTAGTCAACGGATTAAGGGTTCGAGCACCGCCATGCTACTTATTTTTGCTTTTTGGAAGCTTTCTTATGAAGGGGCAAAAATAAAAAATAATTTTCTTGCTCGTTGTTTTTTTCTGTTTGGCCGACAGAAGCAGTAACTCGGAAAATCGTTTGGTGTCAACAAACAAGCTAAATCGTCCGTTTTTCTCGGTTAGCCCAGAAAGACCGAGTCTTAGGCATAAATTGTCGAAGACCTCGACAAACATGTGCACTGGGCAAAAACGGATCTTGGATTCGGAATCAGCGCAAAAAACTGTTCTAGATGAGCTGTCTTGCATTCCCAAGCGCATCCCTCACTTCGCAACCTCTTTAGTTCCAACTTCCAATCCATCAGATTGAACCGAAAGGAAATACTATAGAAAATCATCGGTTTAACAAAGCTGACATGGTAAGGCTTTACTTTACCCCCCCCCCCCCCCTCCTGCCACCCCTTCCCCCCCACAGCTGAAGGTCTCAAAGTTTTCGTTATTTTCGCTATTTTTGTCGGGCTTTTTGCAACTCCCTTCGAAAGAGCGTAGAAAAACATGCAAAGAGTTTTATTTTGAGCCTATGTTAATGCAAAATAAAAAAGTGGTAGCCAAAAACTTTCGGCTGGGCGAGGGGTAAAGTAAAGTTTAGCCGTTGGCATTCGCAGGCCAGTTTTTTTCTGGTTTTGCCAAATCCTTGAGGTAAATCACTTGATTAAGCCCGAAAGCGACGAGTACAAAGCTATTGTCAAGCTGAGGGACGACGTCGCCACCCAACACAAGGGTTGGTGAAATGAATATTTCAGGCAACCTTTAGCAGCCGGCTAAAAAAATTTCCGGCCAGGGACCTTTCTATCTGTTCCGGCGATTAGCAAACGTCAGACGTTTCGGACCGTTGAGACGCATTTATGATACTTGCCTGTGAAAAAGGCGTTCGGCGAAAGGCCGATCCTAAAGCACCCAGCGTCTTTTCAGCGTGTAATCGGCAAAAACATCTTGCATACCTCCGCTGTCTTCGTGATTTTTTTGCGCTCGTAAAAATCATATAATAAAAAAAACTCCAATTAATTGCAAAAAGCAAGTGGTTTCTTTTTGCTAGCGTTTCTGAGAGCGGCAGATATAATCGTCCGAATTGGACACTTACTACTTACGTACCGGCCCGCTAGAGGCCGGTACTTATTTTCGGAAACCTTGCACAAAAGGGTTAGCAGACACAAAATAGATCAAAAGATGTTTCTCTATAATTGCTTGTTCAGAAATGAGGCGCGTCATTTTCGAAGGATTCTCCCAGCTACATTATGCGCAGGGCCGCTATCACTGGGAACAGGTACTTATTGACAGGTTTAAAAAGTCCTCTTTCCTAAAAGTAATTTTCCCTAAAAGTCCGATAAACTGGAAACTGTTCGATAGAAGAAGGGAACTTATTAGGGGAGCCCGAATAAACCCGGACTCCGAATCGGCTGAAAATTTGCAAAAAACGTTGCATCACTTTTTGAAGCTTTATCCCAAGTTTGGTGGTATTTAAGAGGTGAAAAATCTTAATGCGTTCTTCGCTTGATTCAGAATTTTTTGTTCAGAATATCGAAAACTCCTCAAGAACTCATACGAATACATTAGGTTGACAGAAGACAGCGGTAAAGGGGAAAAAAATGAATTTTCCGTTTTGTCCGGATCCTGAGACACCCTGTAGCGAATTATTATAGTTGATTGTGCAGTTAGCAATAACTAGATAACTACAAACGCTTGACATAAAAAATTTAAAGTTTCCGATTAAAGATTTTTTGGCATTTTGCGAAATCTTCGAAAATTCATTGAATTGCTTGAGGATGGTATATTTTGTTGCAGGCATCTTTGCTAAGCCTGGGTTTTATGCTAACAATATTAGAAACTAGGCCAGTCAAGCATGCTCCATGGACAATTCAAAATTCTACTTATCCGGGGTAGCCGATCTTCCGGACGCTCCTATTGACGGCTAGTTAAGTCAATCGATAATGTTCATTAGAGCTTCATTTTGATACCCTGTATGTTTTCTGAACTCATTAAGAGTCCCATGCTTGATCGCTTCATAGTATTCAGCTTTTTCAAAATGTGCAAAAATTCTTAGCGATTAGGGGGTCGTCAAAATCGTAAAAAGTAACTTGCGTTTATTGTTCATACCTAGCATATTTAGTTTTTGTAGACTGCCGCCACTTCCGGCCTATGCTAATTGTTTCCTAACAAAGAGGGTGCCCGAAATTTTCATAAAAACTTAAATTGAATGTTTAAAACGGCCTATTTTGGAAAATCTGATAAGCATGCAGTCGTCACAGAGCCATTACGCACCGAATGACGTATCATACCCAACCTTATGATAGCGAGCAGGATTAGTACATACAGTAACGGACAAAAGTAAATCACCCCCCATTTTTCGACTTTCTAGGCCGATTTCCTGAAAATCCGTGGCTGGAAAATACTTAATTGACAACTTACTAGATGTAAAATTACATGCTGATTCCGAATTTGATACTCCGGAAACCCGGAAATTTTATTTTTGAGGGTGAAAATCGCGATTTACTTTTTACCTCAAAACACGGTCAAAAACTAACTTTTTTGTGTGGGGTTTTCGAGGTGCGCCATTATGATATTCGTAATCTCCGATATCAAATTAGCCGGCATAAGTGTTTTCCGGACTTTTATGGGGGTCTAGATATCATTTCCGGAAATCGGCCAGTTAGGTTTCTATGGGCCTTTAAAAGCGGTTTTCGGCGTATTTCCATAGCGGATCCAGAATCTACAGGGTGGATTACAGATGATTTACTTACTGATTTTTCTAGAAGCATGTGTTTCGAAAGCGCAACGGCGAAAAGTCGAGTTGTGGAAAGGAGGGCTCGAAACAGGTCAAAAACAATTTTTCGCCAACTTCTTTTCATTTACATCGGAAAGAGCGCTATCCAATGTGTAAGAAGTTTATAGCGCTAAATCGTGAATTTCATTTTTGGCCATTTTGTTAAGCGAAATCGCAGCACCGGGAGCGGCATTTTCTCGGTCGTCGACGACAATTCTTATTCTTAACCAGCGGGGGAGGAGCCGCTTCGCGACTTTCCCCCGCTGGACCCGTCTAGGCATCCATCCCCAATTGGGCGTCTTTCCAAATCACGCTACCCGGATAACGTCATTTCTTCGGTCTCTTTGCCCTAATAATCATAGCACGCTTCAAAAAAAAGTTTGCCGAATACTGATATATCTGATACACTAAAAAACTTCTTTTCTTCTTCTTCCTTTGGCCTGCGGCGCAAGTTTGAGCGGCTAGCTTCGTTCTAAAGCCTGCGGTGCAAGTTTGAGTGGCTAGCTTCGTTCTAAAGTCTGCGGCGCAAGTTGAGCGGCTAGCTTCGTTCTTTTGGTTGCTTCTAATTATTTCATCAGGAATAATTGAGACCAATTTTTTCTTGGAAAAATGTTTTCTTACACATTCGATAGCGCTCTTTCGGATGTGAATGAAAAGAAGTTGGCGAAAAATTGTTTTTGACCTGTTTCGAGTCCTCCTTTCCACAAATCGACCTTTCGCCGTTGCGCTTTCTAAACACACCAGCCGATTACAGCCGCTTCGCGACTGTAATCGACTGGCCTCCCAGGCTACACTTCATATTCGACTCCACCACATCCCTTGCTACTTTCATAAATACATATACTGATGGTTTCAGAAAACCCTCATAGCCGAAATCCCTTTCAAACACTACTTCGATACCTTCCTGGTCTGGTGACTTCCGATACGCCCCATAGCCGAAATCCCCTTAAAAAACTACATCGATAACTTCCTGATGGCTTCAGATACCCCCCATGGCTGAAATCCCCTTCAAAAACTACCTAAATACCTTCCCGATCGGGTTTTTGGAGTATCAAATTCGGAATCAGCATGTAATTTTACATCTAGTAAGTTGTCAATTAAGTATTTTCCAGCCACGGATTTTCAGGAAATCGGCCTAGAAAGTCGAAAAATGGGGGTGATTTCCTTTTGTCCGTTACTGTATACCTGAGTTTTAGAAAATCGCCTCCAATCTGAGGAGTCTCCAGAGGTTCTGGACGAAGCTTGTGCGCAAGCCGGAAAAGATGCCCACTCATCGGACTGATCTCATTGATGCTTGCAAGCAATACAACCCTATGGGGCTATTGGACGTGAGCAGAAGCTTACGCGACACTATTTTGAAAATTTTAAAAGTTGATTTTGAGGGTTAAATGGCCGCTAAACTTGCAGTGCCCAAATCTTCTATCGAAAACTACGAGTTTTTCGTGGCATCTGAAAGAGCATGTCCGAATTAGCGGGGTGACGCTATTTTGGAAACTTTAAAACTTGATTTTAAGTTTTAAACTTGCAGTGCCCAAAACCTTTTCCCGAAAACTACGCGGCGGCGCAGAGATTATGGCCCAGATTTTTTACCATCTGCTCGGGCTCCCGGGGGTCAAGCATGAGCTTTTGGGACATTAATGGCAGACACTTCTAATCAAGTCGAAACTTATAACAATTATGAATATTTTTTAATTAAACACAACGGGTTTTTACATAAGCATTTGATGTACCGCGACACTTGCGGCGCGGACACTTGCGGCGCGACACTTGCGGCGCGACACTTGCGGCGCGACACTTGCGCCCGACACTTGCGGCGCGAACTTGCGGTTATTTAGTATAAGCTATATAAAAATAGTTTCCGGTGTTATTTGATAAGCTGCATCAGAATTTGGTATTAAAAAATTATAGAAAGTCGGGTTTGCGACCGAAGTCACTCAATTTGGAGGGAAAGTTGCCGCTACTTCCTCCGCTCTGCGACTAAAAAAAGGCTTCGTGCCACCCGGGGCCTAGTCGCCATCTGCTGGCGCTTTTGCCCCCAAACCTTTGCGAAACTTTTGCTTTTTGATCCGCGAAGGAGTTATAGCCAAAAAAAAAACTACCAAACTACCAAACTAAGAATTTGGAGAACAGAAACCGGTAGATAAAAGCTATTTTGAGTAAAACAGAGGTTTCCATCCATTTTCAATGCTAGTTTCTCGTTCATCAGGGCAATCGATCCTGATTGTACCAAATATATTTTACCAAATATACACACACACACACACACGCACACACACACACACACACACACACACACACACACACACACACACACACACACACACACACACACACACACACACACACACACACACACACACACACACACACACACACACACACACACACACACACACACACACACACACACACACACACACACACACACACACACACACACACACACACACACACACACACACACACACACACACACACACACACACACACACACACACGCACACACACACACACACACACACACACACACACACACACACACACACACACACACACACACGCACACACACGCACACACACACACACACACGCACACACACACACACACACACACACACACACACACACACACACACACACACACACACACACACACACACACACACACACACACACACACACACACACACACACACACACACACACACACACACACACACACACACACACACACACACACACACACACACACACGCACACACACACACACACACACACACACACACACAGCCACACACACACACACACACACACACACACACACACACACACACACACACACACACACACACACACACACACACACACACACACACACACACACACACACACACACACACACACACACACACACACACACACACACACACACACACACACACACACACACACACACACACACACACACACACACACACACACACACACACACACACACACACACACACACACACACACACACACACACACACACACACACACACACACACACACACACACACACACACACACACCACACACACACACACACACACACACAAACTCTATTTTTAATATATAGAGGGTGTCCCAAAAAAAAGCATTCCTCCGGCATTTCGCCGTATTACATCCGACCGGTCCCAAAATTGGACCAGAGGTGTAACAGACCATAAATAACCACAATCCTGACTTATAGCCCGATCGCTACAGTAGTTTTCGAGTTATCGCCAAAATACTATTTTTACGCGATTCTTAGCAGTTTTTTCGGCTCTTTTTCGACTTTGCATCGATTTGCATCGAGTTCCGGCTGCGAATCCCTATTTCGCTTAATATCGGGTGAGTTACAAAAATTGTTGAAATCAACGGTTTTTTGATGACTTTTATCAGGAAAAAAATTCTAAGGGTAAAAAACGCTTGCCACTTCATTTTCACTTAATAACCAAAGGGTTGATTCCGACGGAAACCTTATGAAAAACAAATAATCTAGTTTATTTTCGTTGTATCTCGAAAATTACTGTAGCTGGCGGATTTCGCCAAAAACTTTTCGGGCCTGTATCTTGACTCCCCTTCATTTTAGTTGCCCAGGACCTCCCTGCGGAAGAAATTTAGGTCAAGAGCGACCAAATGACATATCGCATGTCGAAAATGATGCTGTCTGCGATTTCAGGCAGCACTTCGAAATCTCGGCGATAGGACTTACCTCCTTTCTGGGTTGAGGTACCCCCCACGCGGCTCTCTTTTCCGGTTTGAGCGGTAACCATGCATCGGATCGTAGAACTAATTATACAACCGGAATCGGCGGCAAATTTTGTACAATTTTAGCTTTTAAAATTTTCAAACGTTTGATTTTCGAATTTTAAGAGCGTTTTTATTCAGTACTCACTGTAAAGTGTTTTTACTCAGGCTGCCGTTTTGGGATGGGACCAAGCCTATCTTGTGCAGAATTTTCCGCTGATTCCGATACTCTTTTCCAAATCTGCTGCCGACTTTTATTTCAAAAGTTATTTGACATCTATACTATAAAAAGTGCCAAAATCTGGATATTTTTTGCGTTATTTTTCAGTTGTCGTCATCTTCAACGTTAAAACTGGGTCGGTAACGGTTTTGGAGATCAAAGCACGTTTTCATAGCATCCAGCATTTAGCATTTTATTACCAGCATCCGAATTTGTGCCGTTTTTAAAGAGATGAGGACGGCATCTGTTGAACCCCCCTTGGGGAGGGGGGGTTCAACAGGTCCCGCGGCGATCTCGCGCGAGAGAGGGCACCCAGGGGAGAGGCGCAGAGACATTTTCTTTCCCTCGCGTAATCAATTGACTTATGCCGCCCCTATCTCTTTAAGCTTAATTTCGACCTGAAATGAGTTTTCAACGCGTAGTCCGCAGAAAATTTGGAAAACGGATTCGGCGAAAATCAGCGAAAAATCCTGAACAAGATAGTCTTGGTCCCATTCCAAAACGCCAGCCTGAGTAAAAACACTTTACAGTCAGGGGGGTCTTCCGTACGCAAAACCTTTGAAGTCGACGAAAAGTGACTTCCCATAGTCCGTTTGAGCTAAAAATTTGCACAGATACTAAGTTCATGCTAATCTCGGTGAGGCAGAAGCGTTTTGTTCAAAATAGGCTTAAAAAAATTTTATGAACTTTGAAGTTCAAAATCTAAATTGCGCCCAAAAAGTGTCTGGTCGAGGTCCGATTGCGCTGAAATTACTCATATATGACTATAGTAATGCCTTGACCCTTGTTTTAGTGATAAATGAAAAGATTCTCGCAAAATAATGGTTGTGCTTTCAGATACGGTAGGATTAGTTGAAAATCTGGGGTCACAATACGGGGCGAGCGCCTTTTCTGTCTGGCCCTCTCTCCCCACCCCACTAGTGTTGGGAAATTTGCTCGGGTCGGTTTTCGAGCCGCAACCGTGCCGAAAACCGAGCGGCTCGGTTTCACGGCTCAAAAATTCGAGCCGAAATTCGAGCGGCTCCGTTTCACGGCTCGAAAAACCAAGCCGGCTCTTTTTGCGATGTGTAGCCGCCACCAAGCTTGTTTCTTGTATAACTTTGTCATATTACATTATTTTCAACTGAAATTTGCACGTTGAGCAGCATTTTTGCTGCTCTATCGAATCGCGATGACGAAATGTCGAAAAATTCATCAATAATGTGGAAAAAAGGAAGATGAAGAAGAAGAAATGACTTTCGAAGTAATGACTTTCGAGGTAATCCCTTTTCGAAGTAATGACTTTTCGAAATAGTGACTTTCGAAGTAATGATTTTCGAAGTAATGATTTTCGAAGTAATGACGCTTACCCGGAAAAAAGGCCTAAAACCCCTTTTTCAACAGTTTTGTTTGTTTTCGCCGTAATTATGTGGTATTACGTTAAGTTGTGATGAAATTTATGTGACTTATACAGTTTTACTGCTCTGTTGAATGGCGTTGACGAAATGTCACCAACAAGCTGATCGCGCCGGGGAGTTCAAGGGTTATTTCCAGCTCTTTTATCCGGTTTCTTTCGATGGTTGAAATGTGCTTTCGCCGAACCTTAAACCGACTAGGCCTAGGCACGTACCCAAAAATTGCCGGGTACCTGAGGCTAATAATATGTAAAGTGTGGCTCTATCGTTTTGACACTTGTTTTTGGCTCTATTTGTTCTTTGCCTTTAAAAATCGCATGCACTATTTTGAAAAACTTCAAGTAGATGGCAAAATGCGCCTTTTCGCGCACTACCAGACCTGTAGTTAGCTTGGCGTCAAACTAAACGAGGGCCGAGAAAATAGCGTTCACAGAGGTGGCTCTATCGTTTTGACACACACTGTATTTGGCATTTTTGCCGCTTTTCGAGGCGAGGTTCTTCGTCACCGTATCACGGGGTAACCACGTGCTTGAAAATATCATGATTATTACCTTTATGTTCGATTTTATTTTTAATTAGGACTAAAGCAGGAAAATTTCAGCGTGCCGAAATAAAAAAACCAATTCAGTGCCAAAATTCAGCAGGTTTTCCTATATGCCAGCAATTTTTGGTTGATCCTTGGAATTTTCTCATGTTTCGGAGGTTAGGGAATTTGACGCTTTTTGTGGCATCAGAGAATCTCGCTCTTTTCTCGAACCCAATAACCTTTTTTTTAAAGAATCTTTTTTTAGTTAAAGAGATTGTTATCATTGACTACCCGGAGCATGCCGGCGGACCGAGCAGATGGTTTCCCGGGGGAGCCGGTCAAAATCCTGGCCTAAACCTCGGCGTCGGTCGAAAACGTATCCAGGATTTTAGGCACAGATTTCTTTCCGCTCTCTCATTCCCCGTATCGAACATCCCCTGCACCATCGTAATGTCTTCATTTTAAGGACGTCAAATGGTCTGACATAATCAATGCCCGATTCCGACGAAATCCCAGGTCAAACAAGCAATCGCTGCCAGGGAGGCCGTCCGCGGGATCGAGACAAAACGTAAGTTCCCGGAAATCTAGAAATTTTTCCATTTTCAAATTTAAAAATATTCGACCCCGACCTCAGATTCAAAAAGGGGCTCTGACTGTAACCCTCTTTTGGTCGAAGTGGAAATTCCGTACGTGAATAAGCACATCTTGTGCAAAATTTGTTGCTGATTCCGAATCCGTTTTCAAAAGTTGCGGAACCCCTCAGATGAAAAAGTTACAAGCGTTTTTAATACCCAAAATGCCACAAATCGCTTGCTTTAAAACGTTCTAAAAATTCCGTAAGATACTTTTGGGAGGAAAATAAGACATTTTCCGGGGTAAAAAAAACGTGCTCTTTCGAATGGGCTATCTCGCGAACCTGTAGCTCAAAATTTGCAAAAAAGTTTTTTGGCGGATGCCCCCCAAGATGGTCGATTTTCAGAAATTTTCAGAAATTTGGGATCTACAGGTTTTGTGAGATAGCCCGAAAGGCAGGCAATTTTTACCCCGGAAAATGTCTTACTTTCCCCCAAAGTATCTTACAGAAAAACACAAGGCTGGGCCTAAAGCTACAGCGATTTCGTGGCATTTTTTCGGTGTCAAAACCTCTGTAACTTCCAATCTGAGGTTCCGCAACACTTCAACAGTCGAAATCATTTCCCGCATCTGCACAGATGTGCTATCTCACATACGAAACTCGACAAAAAAAGGAACCCCAATGTGAGGTTTTCCACTTTCCCTTCCAACTTTGTCATTTACCACAGAAAGTCAGATATAGTTTTGCCTGCGTGCTCATAATCACCTGGAGAACATTCTAGAATTGAAAAATTGGCATTTTATGGTAATTTATCTTGGCATGCTAAAACGCGCCCAGGCGGGTTACTGTAAGAAAACAGAAAATCACCGTTTTCTCGTTCTTTTCACCATAAAATCGTTTCAATCTGACAGGAAAACAAGTAATAGTATTTGTAGTTCAATGCGATATTTAGAAATTTCGGCAGCATAATTAAAAATCAGTTCTTAGCGTATTTTAGGAAAACCTGTGGATAGAATGCCGCAATATTTGGCCCATAGATGACCCTTAATATTGTTCACCAATGTTATAATTTTCAGCAAATGCCGACGGGAGTTTTTTTTTGGGACACCCTGTATAATGGGATGGAGGGAGGGCTATTCCTTTTTGTCATCGGGATTCGTGAGAATTCGGAATACCATCGAGATCAGCATTGGAAAGTCTTGAAGCACCAGCACTTTGCAGCCCTGGCCCACACAATTAAATTTCCAGTGCCGACGGCGGACTCGACAATCACGGCCTCGTTTCTGAAGTCCAAAGAAGGTGAGCGGTTTATCAGAAGACCGGATTTCCATGCTGCGGACGCTGGTTTATCGAAAGCCAACAGAAGAGAGAGCGAGCCGAGGGGAGAGGCACAGAGACATTTTCTTTTCCGCGCGTAACCGATTGACGATGCCCTCGGCATCCCTTTAAAGGGCTGGAGAACGATGGCCAGGCGTCCGTCGGAGTGACGGACAGACGGGACTCTGCTATCGACGTGATTCTTATTAGGAATTCGTAGTTTTTATGCAAAGTCCGAATTCGGCGCCTGATTACGATAACTGGGAGTTGATGCGCTTGGGATCCGGAAAAGGCTGTTTTTGGGTATTTTCGAAAGTTCGCTTGGGGTCGGCATGTCACTTGCTAGTCGTACTGTACTCTCGGAGAGAGCAGTCGGCTGGCAGGCGTTGGTTGTTTGGATGAGGCCGTCAGGGGGCCCCCAAGCCTAGATAGAAGCCTTCCGACAACCCCTAAATCTGGGATTTTCGCTCCAGATTTTCTGTTTTGCCTGCCGGGTCGCTGCTTATGATCGCTTTACTAACGTTATACCGAAAATTGATTATGCAGAAAACCACGACCTAGAAATCCATTATGCCGAAAATCGATTATGCAGAAAACCATTACGTAGAAACCCATTATAACCAAATTTCAATACACAGAAATCCGTTACGCAGTAAACCATTATAAAGAAAGAGCACCACTAACCAACCAGCAAACCATTATGCAGAAATTCATTACATAGAAAATTCATTAAGCAGAAGACCATTACCCCCAAATTTCCGTACAAGGAAAAATTCTCTCGGCCGAATTTACAGAGAGACATGGCATGTAAGGCAACAAAATTTTCGTGAATAAAATCAGGGAAAGTTAGCGAACAGGGTTAGGAGAAAGCATTTAAAATTTCCTTCAAGAAATCTAGAGAGGAGCATGAGAATCAGGAAACTCGCACAATTTTGTAACTGCTAAGACTATCTGACGGGGTAAAATCCGCAAGTCAATAACGGAAACAACCTTAACGATCGCGGATACACCTTTTTTGTGTAGATAGAACATTTGGGAAACATATTTCTGCAAAATGGATTTTGTATGTAACGAGTTTCTACGTAATGGATTTTCTGCGTAGTGCTTTCTGCGTATTGGGATTTCGGTATAATGAAATTTCGATGTAAAGGATTTCTACGTAATGGTTTCTATGTAATGAATTTTCGGTATAACGAGTTTCTGCATAATGGATTTTCTGCGTAATGTGTTTCTGCTTATTGAAATTCCGGGATAATGTTAATTTGCCCATATAATCAATTTGCAGACACGGGGAACGCCAAAATAATTGTGCAAAATTCGGAAAAAATTTCCACTTCGCGGCCGATCAGATTCTTGCCCATCGCTGTTAAAAATCTAGACCCGATCGCTTAGAAGACAGACGAATGCCGTGAGGCGTTTTTTGGACATCTTGTACTTCCAGACTTCATCCTGAAGGTGGCTGTATCACGCGCATCGGCGGCCGATGACCTGATTCAAAAGCTGTCGACAGGTGCGTTCACAAACGCCTGGTTTGTGGAAAATAATAGAAACAAGGGATTCACCATCTTTTTTTTAAAATTTCTTAAGTAGCGCAAAATGGGGAGAGCGCTGTTCTAAATGTTTAGCCAAAACTGCCTATCTCCTCCCACCTCGCCTGAGTGATGCATTTTCCGATTAGATTTCCGCAGTTCCTAAGCTAACGCAGGGTTCCTAACAGTAAAGTGTTCTTGGTCAGGATGGAAATTCGAGATGAGACCAAGCATATCTTGAGGAGAATTTTTCGCTGATTCCGAAGATGGTTTCAGAATTTGCAGAATTCCCATAGCGCATTTTACAGGGTATTGTTGCAAATAAAGCTCGACTTTAAAGACAAGTCGAGAACGATTGACAGTATCGGTTTGGAGCGAGAAAGTTTGCGCACCGGGCGAGGTCGAGACCCGCGATGGTTCGCTACACGGTCCGGCGCCCTAGCCACACTATACCACAGGGCCAGAGTGATTTGAATGGAGTCAGAGGCGCCCCAAACCCCAGAGGTCTTCCCTCAATGCGGGACACCACTATATGACCCTCTCTGCGCGTTCTTGAGGCGAAAGCGCCATCTGCTGGGTGACAGTGCGCGTTCCATCGCTCTGGTAGTCTTTAAGCCCCTGTAAAAATCGTAGGAGACAAAATAAGCGAAAGATCGGAACTTGCTCGGCAAGCAACGCGCTTTCAAATTAGGTGTTATAAGAACATTTTGCGTTAAATTCCGAAAATCGCTATGCTATTCAACAAATGTACAGAATGGTGCTATTGAACAGGCTTTTTTTTAACAATCGAAGAACAGTTTTATCAGAGCCTCATCTGAAAGCTTAAATATTAAATAGATAGATTTTTAATAGGGCTTAAAGATGCAATCTTTGGTCAGAAAACACCCTAAAATGCGGTGTAACTTTTGAAATAACGGCATCCTGCAAATTCTGAAACCATACTTGGAATCAGCGAAAAATTCTGCAAAAGATATGCTTGGTCCCATCTCGAATTTCCATCCGGGCCAAAAACACTTTACTGTAAGCAAACCCCTGCCAGTAAACATAATAATTCTTCAGCAGCACCAACTTCATTGGAAGAGCTCGCCCAACTCCTAGCCCAGATCGCCAAACCGACGCCAGAGCCGAGGTAATCAAATTGATTCAAATCAGCCCCGCTCGGCATAGCTATCCGATTTACCCGACCCGGCCTATTTAACAGCGCTGGCCCCCCATAAAAACTACGCGAAGCCTAATTTTCAAGGCAACATATTGTAAAACAAAAAGTTATAGCAAAATCAAGGTCGTTTTGCCGATTTCGCTGGGATTTTGACCGATTTCGACCGCGAAATGTTTAGCAAAATGAAGAGCAGAAATGTTCTCAAAAATTCATAAATGATGGTGTGCATGAGCATAAATGATCTTGCAGCTGCATGCTCTGGGCGGTCGTCCAATTTGGTCGTTTTACCCGAAAGTCAATGGAAGCCGAACTACAAGACGTCTTCGAAACCCTAAAGGCCCTGGTAGGTCCACCATTCTTCATGTACACTCAGACAAATAATAGAATCAAGCGTTTTTTGCACGGTAACTTTTCCTAGTGATCGGTTCGACTCGAAAATTAAAGTGTAGCCCTTCTTTGATATTAGAAAACCGTGTGCAAAGTTTGGAAAAAACCAATTTGTGGAAGGTACGACTCCGGAAAGCTTGGTTCTGAACTTTGTCAAAAAAACTATAGAATCACTTTTTAAATCACCGATGTTGCTACCCGCTTATCTTTTTCGGACCATTTGTTTCGACGCGAATACATTATTGTCACATGAAATACCAGCCGATTACAGCCGCTTCGCGACTGTAATCGGCTGGCCTTCGGGCTACCCTCCATGTTAAAGAGATGCAGCGGCGAGAGAGGGCACCAAGGGGAGAGGCGCAGAGACATTTTCTTTCCCGCGCGTAATCGATTGACCTATGCCGCCCCTATCCCTTTACACCACCACATTACATCTCTACCTTCATCAATACCCACGCTGGTCGCTTCAGATACCTTCTATGGCCAACCCCTGCTAAAACTTAGCTACCGAAACTCCGATACCTTTCTGATGGCTTTAGACATTTCCCACGGCCGAAATCCCCTTAAAAAACTACATCGATAACTTCCTGATGGCTTCAGATACCCCCCATAGCCGAAATCCCCTTCAAAAACCACCTAAATAACTTCCTGATGGATTTAGATACCTCACTTACAAGGAGACGTTTTTGAGTGTCGTCGGGACTTTGGCACGGGACCAAGCCTATCTTGTGCGGAATTTTACGCTGATTCCGAATATGTTAACCGTTTTTGCGGAATAGCCATTTCTCGAAGTTATGAACGATTTAAACCTCAAAACAGCCCAAAATCGGCTACTTTCGATAGTCATAAAAGGCTTCGGAATAGGTTTTAGACAAAACTTGAGTGTGCATCTTGTTCAGAAAAAAATTCTCTATAAAATAAGCCACTTAACTCAAAAATGCTGGAATTTTGAAAATTTTTGTAAAATTATGGACCTCCCAATTTATCAAATTTTTCAGCTTTTCAATGATTTTGCAAAAGATGGTAGCACTTACTTAGAGAATTTTTTCTGATCTGGTGCTCTTTGTTATGTCTGAAAGCCTATTCTGAAGCTTTTCATGACTATTGAAAGTAGCCGATTTCGGACTATTTGGTTCGAATCGTTCATAACTTTCCAGAAGCTGGCTATTCCAACTGGCGTTAACATATTCGGGAATCCGGCAGCAAAATGCTGCATAGATAAACTTGGTCCCGTGCAAAATCCCCGACATTTGCTCAAGAAAACGTCTTCCGCCCAGTATAAATCCCCGTAAAAAGCTAAGAATAACGACCGACCGGATACGTTGGAGACAAAAAAGAAATGCATTGATCCGGTGAGATTTCCATCCACGAGCAGCGCGCCGCACCTGGCTGGCTATGTGTCCAAAATCACTCCAACCTCCGTCCCCCACCCGCCCCGAAATCTTGGAGTGGCGCCGGGGCGCACAAATGGACCGGCGGTACTTTTTGGGGATGCGGTATCTTTTCTGGTGATCCACGCTTTGGAGGCACCGAAAAATTACGACACTCTAAATACCGGCATTACGCACCGTTGTCACTCACTCTTTTTCACGTTATTTAATAGTTTTTGCGTGAGAACGGTTGATAACAAAGCTTTATTGATGTAACAACGGGGGAATAACAATAGACCGGTAGACCGGTAGACCGGTAGACCGCTTTTTCGTTCAAATTCATAAAAGGTCAGAAATCGGTATCGGGGCTTTATGGCAGCTTTATAGCCAGGTTTTGTTCCTTAATACATTAGTTAAGCAAAATGGGTTTATTTGAAGCATATTCAACTATTAGTTTAGTCATATTCTATTGTCCTACCACCGCGTTCTTTTTATTTGAAAAGTTATCTACATAAAACGCGTTATCTCCGTAGTTCTCACGCTTTTCCTTTGTTACAATAATTTCTTCCAGGTATTTGTCCAGCCTTTTAGTATTTCGTGGTTTTTATGTTTTAGTAATGTTGGTTAATACTTTAAATAGCAACTATTCGTATGGTAAAGTAGTAATATCCTAACCTCTACAGCTTTGTCTTTCATTTAACGGTATGATAATACTATTATAGTTTCTTTCCTTTGTACCACATATCCTTGAACTGGCATCGGTGAGTTTAACAGAAAGGTATATTCCCCATTACAGTCGGCTATTTCACTTTGAATAATCGTTGTCACGCTCTGTGATGTAGAAGCACGAACTACTACACATAAGGCGCGGAAAACGACGCTAGTTATCGGCATGTTATTAAACTAGTCTAAATATATGATATTTAAAGTATTTACCCACTAAATGTAGTTTTAAGTACCACGGATTACTAACAAAGTATTAAACGAGGAATAAATCAATATAATACACGAAAAGCCAAAGAATTACGGGAAGCGCGCGTAATTATTAGATAATGTTCCAAACAAAGAACGCGAAGGTAGAACAGTATGAAATAGAAAAGGTATATTAGTAAAATAATGGCTAAATTCAATTAAAGACTAAAAACCGGGTTAAAAAAGCTGCCATAAAACCCCGATACCGGTTTACTTTTTATGAATTTGAACGAAAAAAGCAGTCTACGGTCTACCGATCTACCGGTCTACCGTATTATTATTCCCCGTTGTTATCAATCAATAGCTTTGTTATCAAGCAGATTCTCACGCAAAAACTGCTAAATAACGTGAAAAAGAGTGAGTACAACACGTTGCGAAATGCTGTCATTTAGGTGTCGTAATTTTTCGGTGCCTAAAGCGTGGATCGGTAGAAAGATACCCGTACCCCAAAAAGTACTGCCGGTCCATTTGTGCGCCTCGGCGCACTGGAAATCTTGGCGGTCTAAGGGGCTGAGGCAGCGCGGCGCTCCACCTCGACTCAAAGAAATGTATGGGGCTAAACTTTTTTGGAAGCTTATATCTTGCAAGATGTAGCCCGATCTTAAAAAAGCGAATTCCAGTATTGCGTCATCACGAACATGGCGATTCCTAATGATACTAAGCGCTAACAAGAGCTGAATTTAGAAGGTACCAGTCGATATCAGCCGCTTCGCGGCTGATATCGACTGGCCCTCCCGGGGGGCAAGGCAATCCAGGATGCTTCGGCTCTGTACCGATAGCACGGGGCAAGGACAACAGAACGGGGCATTGGCAACAGAACGGGGCAATGGCAGCAGAACGGGGCATAGCCAGCAGAACGGGGCATTGCCAAGTCCCCGCGGCCGGCGGCCAGCAGGACGGGGCATTGCATATTTTCTCAAAAAAAAAAACGTATTTCTATGGTCTCTTGCCTATTTTTTCTCTCTGATGATAGATTATAGAAAAAATCGCCGATGGTATGGACTACGAATTTACTATGGAATTGGTAGAAAACAGCCTAATTCAAGCAGCTTAGGATAGCGCATAGGCCTTCGTGTATTAACGAAATATACCAATCAATCAGAAAAATCAGAAAAAAATCTCTATCAGTTAGGCTGCTTCAAATAACTAGAAAAATACAGACAAAAAAAGTTCGATATCCTGACAAACCCTTTTCCGGGGTCCCAAAAATGACACCAAAACTTTAATATCTCAAATTTTCAGGCTCTGTAGCAGATTCGGAAATCGAAGCGATTATCAGCGTGGTCGCATCTATAAATGTACAAATTCTCAGCCCACCCCGTGTTGCCGGGTATTTTGGTCTTCCCTGGTTAGAAAGTTGGGCCTGGGTCTGTGAATCCAAAAAAAATATAATCAGAGAAAATAAATAGGCGAGATACCATAGAAATACGTTTTTCTTTGAGAAAATTGGCAATGCCCCGTCCTGCTGGCCGCCGTTCCCTAGCCAAACCAATGCCCCGTTCTGCTGGCCGCCGGCCGCGGGGACTTGGCAATGCCCCGTTCTGCTGGCAATGCCCCGTTCTGCTGCCATTGCCCCGTTCTGCTGGCTTTGCCCCGTTCTGCTGCCATTGCCCCGTTCTGCTGGCTTTGCCCCGTTCTGTTGCCAATGCCCCGTTCTGTTGTCAATGCCCCGTTCTATTGTCATTACCCCGTGCTATCGGTACAGAGCCGGTGCTTCCCATTCTCTTTAGTATGTTTCCCGCTTGGCGCGAATACCTTCCGTCATCTACCTACGCTCCTCCTCCAAAACCAAAAGAGCCTTCCACTCGTAATCGCTAGGATACCCTTTGAAACAAAGTTATCTCCCTTCTTTGATACTAAAGAAACATTTAAGAAACGCGTAATGGCTAGAATACCCTTGAAAGAAAGTTATTTCTGCTTCTTAGATACTAAAAAAACATCTAAGAAACGCGTAATGGCTAGAATACCCTTTATAGATCCTGATGGGCAGTTCTTGCAACGACGTCCTCAACAAAGATGATCCGGAGGAAATTGAGATTTACAGGCAAGACCTGGTGGCTTCTGTCAAAGAAATTGGCCAGCATGCGGTTGATTGGGCCAAGGCGGTGCAGGTAGGGTGCTTGATATGCCCGGGGGTTGAACCCTGACCTTGTGTGCGGCAAGCGAACGCAAAACCAGTGTGCCAACAGGCCGATGTGATCGGGACAAGACATGTCCTCTTCCCCAGGCGCCTCATCCTCGCAGGCAACAGACCCTGCAGGCGATAGCGTGGACCAATTTTATAAAATCGGGGGGGGTGAATGTTTCCTTAACGCCAATCGATAGCGAGGAGCAGATATCGATAGATGTTGAGATCGTCGAAATTATACACTGGGTAGTCGAGATATGTACCCTTGAAGTTTGGCTCATCCGTTAAAACTTTTCTCGAATCCCATACATTTGTTCAAGGTTTTGTTCGGGACTCAAAATATCAGGTCGGTCGATAAGTCCTGTCACAAATTTCAATTTTTTGAAATCGCTCTATAGAGCCGCAGAAATGTTTGCTTTTGACTTTCGATCCATAATTTGATCGACCGTGGGAAATTTGGATTCATTTTTGGACCTAAAATTAGCGAATAAAAATACATAATCTGAAACTCAACCCGCCATGTTTTCTCGCCTTTTCGAGAGCTTTCGATAGATACCTAAATCGTAAAAATCGGACCTTACTGAGCGCCACTAGGTGGGGGGTGGGGGTTTGGTGACCTGTACGGTGCCCCAAAAAAATCCCCTGGCCGACCCGAGACCCACCCGATTTTTACGATTTGAGGTATCTATCGAAGCTCTAAAGGCGATGTCGGGACGCCTGGTCGATTTTCGAAATGTCGAAATTTTTTGCTCGATTTTCGGCCTTTTTCAGGCAAAAAGGACTCGCTTTTTTGTCCAAAACGCAATTTAACCGGTTTAAGCGCTATCCAAGCTGTGTTTTCGCAAACGGTTTTCAAAGAGCTGTCGTTGGGCTGCCAGGAAAGGCATAAGATCTTAAATTGCGATTTTTGTAAAAAATCACCTTCTCACAATTTTGTCGAAAAACATCAGAAAATCCGCGCTTTTCGCAAAAAACATTAGTAAATGATAAAAAAATTTCGACATTTCGAAAATCGACCAGGCGTCCCGACATCGCCTTTCCGAGAGCTTTCGATAGATACCTAAATCGTAAAAATCGGGTGGGTCTGCGGCCGGCTAGGGGGGGGGGGATTTTTTTTGGGACACCCTGTATATGCCGAGATAATTCACTATCTGTAAAGTGTTTTTAGTAAAAGTACTTTTTAGTCAGGCTGGCGTTTTGGAATGGGATCAAGCCTATCTTGTGCAGAATTTTTTGCTGACTCCGGATCCCTTTTCCAAATCTGCTGCCGACCTTCCTTGAAAAAGTCATTATAGGTGAAAATTAAGCTTGAAAACCGCATAAATTCGCTGGTTGGCCCACTATTCCCTGTTTGGCTCCGGGTCCGGTAGTGACCATTATCTACACTCCCCGAGCCCGCTACTCAGGGGCGTAACCGACCCCAATTTTTTTGGGGGGGCAGCGAAATTTCGGAAGGGCAAGCAAGAAGATTTTTTGCGAAATTTAAGGCAGGCTAAAAATTTCGCTAAAACAGCAGCGCCGGAGGCTAAAAACTAAATCAAAAGTAAGAAAAACAGCGCCGCAGGCGAAAAGTTTTTACGTTGAAAAATCATAGGGCGAAACCCTTACGTTTTTTTTCGGGCGCGCCGGTTTTCGGGGAAGGGAGGTGACTAGACGATACGCCCCCCCTTCCCCCGCGGCATTCCACGGAGGCACGGATAGGACCGCCCGGGGCCGCGGCGCAGTCGGTTAGCGCCGATCCCAAATCTCGAACAGAGGGTCCGGGTTCGACCCCCGGGACCAACGTGCAACCGCTATTTCTCCCCAAAACCTTTGCCAAGCTTTTGCGTTTTGCTTAAAAACTGTGCTCCAGCCATTGAAAACTGCTAAAACAATAAGGATCTTCTGGAAAAATTAACCCGATCAAAAAGAGACGGTTGATCCACTAGCAACAATTTTCGCAAAACAGTCACTTGGAGCCATTTTCAGCGTCGATTTCACGCACCGGGGGTAATCGACCTTGATTTTACCAAATCTAGGCTCAGATTTCAGCGACAATGCTTGGTTTTTGCGCTATTTAAAGCCACACAAAATCCTGAACTGAACTTCAAAAGACCATCACAAAAAAGTACCAGAATAGATTTTCGATAGTTAGGTGCCAAAATCTGCGCCTTGGCGTCTAGAATATCTAAATCTAATTGAGTTTCTAATTTTTCTATTAAAATTTCGAGAAAAATCCAGTTTTGTCCAAAATTTTGTTCATTTTCGAACAAAAACGTAGCGAGCGCGCTGTCCCCTTGTGCAAGGGAGCCTGCCGTAGCCGAAAAGCTATCCGTGCCTGCCTGTTCAAGCCTGGAATGGCGTGCCCCCCCCAGGCCTGGACGAACGGCGGGCCGGCCCGGGCCGGCCCGGGGGTTTTTACATAGTCTAAAAATACCTTTTTTGGGGGGAAATTGGGACTTATTTTGCATATTTTCGCTCACGAATAGTCGATTTGGCGTTATTATACAGCCTCAATAAAAATTTGGTCCCTTTCTTGACTAAGTCCCTACCAGGAAATCGGTCCGGGTTCGACCCCGCCCGGCGTCTTTTTTGCTTTTTGAATATCTATGTCAGCGCGACCGGATTTTTTCTTAGATGCATCAGTACGGTTGCAATACGGTTTAAAAAATTTTTAGGACAGGTGACTTTTAGGACAGACGGCTTTTAGGGCAGGCGACTTTTAGGGCAGGTGTCCTTTAGGATAGATGTCTTTTAGGGCAGGTGTCTTTTAGGGCAGGTGTCTTTTAGGACAGGTGTCTTTTAGGGCAGGTGTCTTTTAGGACAGGTGTCTTTTAGGGCAGCTGTCCGGCAATCCCTGAAAAGCACCCCGCCGCCCAGTGGGGTGCTCTGGAAAGCACCCGGCCCCCCACTGGGGTGCCTTTTGGGGTGCCTTTCGGGGTGCTGTCCGGGGTGCTTTTTGGCAATGACTTCAATATATGAACTAGGCTTTTTTTGACCAAATCAGAAGATGAACATTATCTTCGAGCAGTTCGGACCAGTTGATGCCAAACTGCTTGCAACTCATTTGGGGGTCGTTTGGCAGCAGTTCTTCGAGGTTGTTCAAGGCGGCGGACGATTTCGAGACGTTTTCTTCTAACCGCCCTAGCAGGCTGAGCTAAGCTGCTGAAAAGCTGAAACTCGTTACACGGATAGAACTTTTCGCGCTCTTTCGAATAATGTACTTGGCACCCCAAAATACTTAATTTCAAGCGAGATATGATGGTTTTACTGCTGCGACAACTTCGGCAAGTACGCCTTTCAGCACTAAAACGCTCCCAACTCTGTCCCCAGACGGTTTCGTGTAACGTTAAGTATACGGTTCGAAAGAGGGTGAAAAATGCCATAATTTAGACGCTTTGACAAAACTCTACGGTTGTGGTTTAGGGCTACTAGGGCGGTTAGAAAAAAACGTCTCGAAATCGTCCGCCGCTTTGAACAACCTCGAAGAAATGCTGCCAAACGACCCCCAAATGAGTTGCAAGCAGTTTGGCATCAACTGGTCCGAACTGCTCGAAGATGATGTTCATCTTCTGGTTTGGTCAAAAAAAGCCTAGTTCATATATTGAAGTCATTGCCAAAAAGCACCCCGGACAGCACCCCGAAAGGCACCCCAAAAGGCACCCCGGGGTTGCTTTCCAGAGCACCCCACTGGGCGGCGGGGTGCTTTCCAGAGCACCCCGGGGTGCTTTTCAGGACACCCCGGGGTGCTTTTTCCACAAAGGCACATAGTTTTTTGCATAAAATCGTATTTTGACCTCTAAAACTGTTACCGAGCCACTTTTGACGGTGAAGATCACGACAACTTAAAAATAACGTAAAAAATATCCAGATTTTACGCAATTTTTTAATATAAATGTCGAATAAATTTTTAAATAAAAGTCGGCAGCAGATTTGGAAAACAGTATCATAATCAGCGAAAAATTCTGCGCAAGATATGCTTGGTCCCGTTCCGAAACGCAAGCCTCAGTACAAAAAAAAACACTCTTGCGCAATTTTTCAAAAGCCTATGCCTGGGTCCAGGGGCGTAGCGTAATACAGGCCCCGGGAGCCCGGCCCCCGAAATCGGCCGAAATTTTTACCCCGAAATTTCATAAGGGGGGACCCTTATGATTTTTATTTTCTCAAAAATTGTGCTGCCTGCGGCGCTATTTTTCACGTTTTTACGGCTATTTGTAAAGCTATGCAACCTTTTTTCAACAATTTTTGCCTGCGGCGCTGTTTTTTCGGTAATGTTTTGAGTTTTTTGGAAAAATTTTTTGGTGGCCCCCGGAATTTTTTTCCTGGCTACGCCCCTGCCTGGGTGCATCAGTTTTCCGACTCTATGAGGTTCCTCTGATAGTAGAGGAGCGCAAAACCTATCAAACGACGTCTCAAACGTTAAAATAGCGTCTGCGGCTCTTTGGAGCGATTTCAAAATTTTGTGATAGGACTATTCAACAAACCCGAGAGAACGTCCATTTTTTTTTTGCGGAACCGGTAACAAATCGTATGTAACGTATGGTATTTCGGGAACGGTCTAGGAAACGGGCCAAATTTCAAGGAGCCATTTCTCGGTCTGCCAGTGTCCAGTCTTAATGATCTCAAATCTATCGCTATCGAGCTATGATTGGCGTTAACGGTATCGCATGCAAATTGCTCTATGCAGAGACGACTCGCTAAAACGCCTTTGTGTAATTTTCCCAAAACCTTTTTTGGCCAGTATCTCGGCGCTCCTTGATTTTGGCCTTTCAAGACCATTCGTCCGAAACGATTCAGGTTGAGACCTACAAAATGACATATCGCATATTCAGATTGGAGCTGTTTACGGTTTTAGCCAGCCTTCCAAATCTCGGAGACAGTATGTTCGTTCCAAGCTGATATATAATCGGTCCACGCCATAGCACGGCCTGTTTCCTAAAGCGTAGATAGCGCGGCCCGTCAGAGATGAGCCCTCTCTCCTGCCCCCCCTAGCCTGGTGTCGGCGGTCGCGCGGAGTGGGGCGGGGGAAGGCTAAAATACTAAAGCAGGCGTCGCAAGGCCGGAAAAATAGTGCCTTAAAGCGCACGTGGACCGCGCGCACTGCCTGCCCGTGCTATGACAGGCCATTCCCCTCCTTTGCGCCGTGGGGCGCCCCTCGTCCCCTCGCCAGGTTGTAGCTGTGGCTGACTGCCATCCATCCGCGCCTCCCGAGCGGGGGGCCTGGGTTCGACCCCCCTCGGCAAAACTCTTTGCTTTTTTCCAAAAACCGTCCCTGAACGTGCCCTTTAATACGGAACATCGACAAACTTTGTAGAATATCAGCTGGCCGGAATCTCAACGTGCTCTCGCGGTGGATTGGCTGGTAGATAAAAAGCCATCAACTGCTGCCGAGGCAGCAGCGATTGTACAACAAGCATATGAAGCAACGGGAGCGAAAGCGTAAGAACACATATTGCGGGGTAGATATCTTACCCGGGCAATTCGTATGTCGGATTAGACTACTAGGCTTACTAGGTTCAGACTCACTCCATCAAAAGATGTCATTTAGCGTACCGATTTGTTTTGACAATTCGTATTTTCAGTTGGGAATACCAGTCACTAGCTCACCCCGGGACATGGGAGCCGGAAAGCGAGTTCGCCGTCCGCTTTGTGCCAGGAACTTATGATAACGTCACAAACAAGGCCGATTGGACTGTCCACGTATGGCGGTTCAATTTTGAAGAAGAGAACTTCTGCCGACGAGTCAAGTTTGCGAAAGGTCGGCTCGCTGATCCAGCGGTGAAGACAGCCCTGGAGTGAGTCAAACCGCGTTGATAGTCTCATTGAGTTGGTAAACGATTGCTCGAACAAGTGAGCGCCAGATTCATACGTGGTCGGCCTTTGTCCGTCCCTCTAGTCTCTGTCAAAATCGCCTGGGCCGCAAGATAAGTTGGCACTCAAAGGATAACCGGAGGGGCAAATAGATTTACGGCCTTTTCAATATGTTCGGTGGTTTGAAAATGCCAGTCGATAAAGGGCCGAAAAAAATATGCTAATAATTTCTTTTGTAGCCGAAAAAATGTTGGAAATTGTATTTAGCACAGAAAAACTTTGATTCCATGAACAACCATGAGCGTGAACCATAAAATTGTTCTTACCAATTTTTCCTTGACGATCCTGACACTTGATCATGTCCCAAAAATGAGTAAAAAATTTTGACGATGGCGCACTCCTATGACAACATTTTTCCAATTTATTTTGACGCGATGGATAGAGCGTTAAAAAATCCACCAAGAGTTTTGATTACAGCTCAAAGACGAAACTAAAGATAATCTTTACCAATGTTAATTTAAAGATAATGAACGTCATCCCAGATGTTCAGCGGAATTATGGGATTCCCAGTCGGTAGTCTATCCAGTCCAAAGTTTCGGCAGGGTTGTTATAGACGCCAGTTTGGCCTTCTACAGAATGAAGCGCTTTCCTATTGCAATAATTCATCTTTCACCCGTTGTTCCTAGATGACAATCGAAAAACCATGTTTTTCATGCGCTAAGAAAAAAAAAGCTAGTGTAAACTTGAGTGAAAACAAACTAGCACTAGCAATACCATTCAGTGAAATGAACTTTTGTCTAAATGAATCTTCGGGACATTAGCAAATTCCATTAATCACCTTAAAATGGAATTCCTCCGCATTTTAGGCGCAGCCTGGGTTATACGAAAGGCTGGGCTGGAAGCGCTGTCGACGAATTGTTCTCCCCAATCGGCCTGGTAGCGAACGACTCGTTCGCCGGCGCTTTATTCTACATGGACGACCCAATGACGTGCAAGGAGCATGCCAGACTGGGAAACTACACGCTCAACGCCTGCCCAAAATATGACGAACTCGGCGCTTCCCAGGACGCGACTGAAGACCATATGTGGCCAAGGCACTGCCAATATCGAGCCTACCACCTGATAATATAGCTTATCTTTTTTTATCTGACATTATCGCTTTTTTTCCTTTTTCATGACCAGAATGTTTGCTTTGAAGCCTTTCCCGTGTATAAACCACTCTATAACATTGACACTGAGAGAACATGAACCTGAAAAAAGCAGAATCACAATCTTTTTATTTTTGCCACGCTTCAATCAACAAAAAATGAATTTTAGACCATTTTGATAGGTTTCGGTGACGAAAAACCTTATGAAAAAAGTTTGGAATGCTGTAAAAAACTTAAATAGTAGCTGAAGTAACTTGTCAAAACATCACGCCACCATCATCCGCCTTGTTGCAGAAATCGCTAATCGCTAAATCGGCGGGGGTGTGGCTGTCCAGCGCGGGAGAGCGAGAGAGAGACAGAGAGAGAGAGAGAGAGAGAGAGAGAGAGAGAGAGAGAGAGAGAGAGAGAGAGAGAGGAGAGAGAGACTTCACGGATTCCGAACCTTGCATAGTCTGGATCCTGTGCGATGATCTTGGCGGCTTCCCGTCTTTGTATGCCGCTTCTGCACGCCTTCAGCATCACCTAGAACGCTTGGGTATTTGATGATTCGCTTAACTGTAATCTAAAAAATCAACAACACCACGGAGAAAAACTAAAACAAACAGATGGGGTCGCGTCCGAACGCTCGCTCTTGATCTTTCCAGTACATTTTTATGATGATCTGTTGATTTCATATCTAAATAATCGTATGTTACATTTTGGAATGTATTTGCCGATTCGTGCATTAATGGTAAACGACTCCAGCAAGGAAGAAAACAGACAGACAAACAGACTTTGTGGGTTTTAAGGCCGACTAACCTGCCTGGACCAAATTTTTTATATCGGTCCAAGGTACCCTAGTTATCGCATATAAAACGTTTCTATATGATTTTTCCCAAACTACCGCTATATTTAAAGTAGAAAACTGCTAGGAAAGTTTGAATGCTAATTTGAAAATGTCGGGAATTTGTCAATTTGCTCGAAAAATAGATATTTCGTGATAAAAATATTTCCAAGTTAATTCTTTACTGTTTTTGTGCTTAGGAATCGTTAAAAACAGCGCACTAATCACACGCGGCCCAATAAAACCAAGACTTGAAATTTAATAATAAATTTAATAAAGCGAATTCGAAAATTAAACCTTCCAAACCAAAGAGTTATTTAAAAGAAGAAAATATGGTTAAAGGGCAGAATTTCTTTGTTTACAACACACAAACAACCTCGCCCCATCCTCCCAACCCCTCTAATCTACCGAAAAGAGCACACTGGCTTCCGTCGTCAAGAGTACTGCCCCGTACCCCGGCTGCGCGGATCCATGGCCGGGGCGCATGGCCCATTCCGGGGCCTATGCCGCGATTCTCTCTACCCGCATCGTGCTCTCTCGCCCCTAGTCAGAGACACATTTTGAATGGCCTTCCTCGGCACACACACCTGCACCCCCACGCAACATAGTCGCGCTCAATTTGAGGCTCGCAACTTGGAAATTCTTGGAGTTTGGGGATTACAATTTGTCTGATCTGTCTATCTGTTGCCTCTGTCCCACTCTGTCTCACGCTCTCTCCCTCTCTCTATCTTTCTTTCTCTCTCTCTCTTTCTCTCTCTCTCTAACTTTCTCTCTCTCGCGTTGCCTTTCGACCTAATTGTGAAGTCGTTTTTAGTGGAAACGACCCTGATTCCCAATCTCATGGAGCTAGGGCAATCTAGCGGGGATCCTTTAGGCATGTGCTATCTCTCTCTCTATCTCTTTTTCTCTCCCTCTCTGTCTCTCTCTATCTCGCTCGCGCTCGTCGTCAGCCTTTGTCTCAACCGACTAAAGAAATAGGTTTTTTTATTTAGGGCCACTAATAGATTGTTAAGTTCGGCCAGGCAAGGCAAACTAGCAGGGATTCTTTAGGAATACCCGTAGCTATCTAAAATACCTCAGTTCCCTTTCAAAATCACCACCTGCCGCTTCGGATACCCCAGAAAGCCAGGGGCGGGTAGTAGGGGGGCAGCAATCCCATTACTCGTTGATTCCCTTCTCTCTCTCTCTCTCTCTCTCTCTCTCTCTCTCTCTCTCTTTCTCTCTCTCTCTCCTCTAGTACTGGCTACTCGACTATTCGAGTGTGCATCTTCCCCCTTCAATCCGAGCCGAAGCCAAAGGGGTGGGTGGATTGGCCGGTGCCCCTCTAGGGCAGGCATATTTGCATACCGACACGTCCATCCGGCCCTCTCCTCCCCCTTCCGCTTCCCTTGGCCTATTTGCATGCGGATTTTCTGCGCATTCAACGTGGCGGAAGCCGTAGAAGCCATCGCTTTTATGCGTGAGCGCGTGGATTCGGCGGATTACCGGCCGGGGTTTATGGACCGGATGGAGGCTGGGATTCTGGATTTGGATATTTATGAGTTTATGCAAATTAGCCATTGGGGCTCCCGATATCTGTGAGGACCTGATTTAGGGACTTCCCAATACCTATAAAATTGTTGTGAATACAAAAGTTTGCCGAGGCGGATCTTAAAGGAGCTTGAAAGTCACAATTTTCATACCGTCAGCGGATTTTTCTAAGCTATGGAAATTCGTACCGGTATCGGATGCTGCGCTTTCTGCATTTTGAACCCAAATTTAGTGCTTTATTGCGTAAATCTGCTTTTGAAGGGACTTGGAAACCAAACTTTTGGTATATATTTTGAACGTTGCATTACAATTTTCAAACGTGGGTTTAAACGGGCGCAAAAGTAAGGTTTTAGAAATATGCGAACGGTTTTCAAATTTAAATTGATTTGAATTTGAGTTCCAGTACTCAGAAAACCGCACTTAGTGGATCCTTGCCTTACGTGTCCTTTTAAAAATCAATTCCCTAAATTATTAGGCTTAGGGAGCTAATAAACCATGGGTTCCGCTATGCTGATCCTCAACGTTAAACACCTGTTAGCTGGCCTGTAACGTACGGCTAAGCCTGGACTTGTGAGTCCCTTTAAAATCCTGTTTTTAGCGTTTTTTAACTTGATGGTGCTAATAAAGCAAAGTTCCATCTTGTCGGCGCCCGTAAACTGGACTGTACTGTACTACTAGCACATCAGCCCTGACTACCATTACTACCTACTACAAACGCCCATCCCTACGACATCCCAAAAAAGTCGGCGCCGTGCCCCGCTTACGCTTCATTGGCATTCAACGGGCGTTTTTTCGGCGGGGTGGCGGTGCCTTTACCTCCCCGGTTCCACGCCGACCGCTGAAAATCGTCCCCAGCGTGTACAGGTTCGTAGCGGGGGGCAGCGAGGGGGCAATTGCCTATTTGCGGAATCGGGCGGAAGAGTTGATTTTCGAGGGAAAGAGAGAGAGAGAGAGAGAGACAGAAAAAGCAGGAACATGCAAAAACATGGTGCGCGCGTTGAGAGGGGCGTCCCTGGCGCCAGAGAACGCGCGCCTCAAGTGAGTGCCGCCGCGCCCTACCATCAGCGGAAACACCATTATTTTTGCAATATTTCTCTATCTCTGTCTCTCTCTTTCTCCTTGTCTAACCTTGTTAGCTGTCTAACTTTCTGTATCGATCTTACGCGTATTTTGTAGCATAGCGGAATCGAGAACTTCAAGAATGTTTGCTCTGGCATCCAATTTTGCCTTGGATTCTATATTAGAACTTATTTTCCTTCTCTCTCTCTCTCTCTCGCTCACTCTCACCCCTTTAATTGCATCGAAAATCAAATAAGGCCCAATCCTGACCCCCGCATCCATCAAAATGGACCCAATTTCCACCAGGATCCACCTTACTTTAGCAGAGTGAGAGAGAGAGAGAAAGAGAGAGAGCAATGTTTTCGTGGTGCCCATATGGTGGGGTTAAAGGCAGGGGCGAGGAGCCAATAATTACCCCTGGCTGCACCCATTCGTCCCCCCCCCCATAAATGACTGATCATTTGCGTCGACGGGGTGACTTCTGGGTATTCCGTTTCTTGCCTGTGTACACCAGGACTTTTCCCATTAATTCTTTATTGTCGGGATCAAGTTGGCTGGGGCTGATGATGCTAATTGCGGTTTTAAAGGGTGCGTGCTAGAACAGAATTTCTGTTTCTCATTTTCTCTTTTTCTCTCCCTCTGTTTCTCTCTCTCTCGCTCTCTCTCTATCTCTCTATTTCTCACTCACTCTCTCTCACAAACTTCGAATTTCCATAACCGTAAATTTTCCATCCTCGCTCGATCCAGTCGATCTAGGTGTGAGGTGTCTCCACAGCCGCCCAAGCCAGTCACCCGGCCTTTTGTTTGTCAGCAGGCGCCGCCGCACTTTGCATACATGTGGAGGTGGCGGGAGAGAGAGAGAGAGAGAGAGAGAAACGGAGAATAAAGACAAAAAGCAGGGCAGAACCCAGAAGCCCGCAGCATTTTCACAGCTTCCGGATGCTAGCCAGTTTTGTTCTGTATTTCGGTAATGCACACTTCATGCTTTCTTTTCTGCTTCAATCAAGCTCGTGCTCGTTCTCTCTTTCCCTCCCTGGCTCTCTTCTCTTTTATTTCTCTTACTAGCTCTATCTCTCTCTCTCGCTCTCTCTCTCTTTCGGCCTCTCTCTAATTCTCACAATACACCGGTGTTTGCGAGTTCCGGTCGACTTTTCATTGCCACTAAAGGGACAAGGACAGGAAGCATTAACAAATTCAGGCGCTGAATCGCGAGGCAAGCTGGCAAAGATTCTTTGGTACGTCCACATCTTTCGATTTTTAAGCGTCTTTTGGCAAAATCTATGGGCTAGTTTCCCAGTGCTTCCTTAGCACCACTTCCAGCCCCGTTTTTGACCGCTTCGATCCCTCTATCTCTCGGCTCTCTCAATTCTCCCATGCTCTCTCACCCCACCAAGCCACCACAAGGGACATAGCCACACACACATACACACGCACATGGGCACACACACATCCTAGGGGGGAGGAGGATCCATCACAAACCCCTTTTTCGGCCCTCCCGCCCCGGGGGGTCCCCAATGCATCCCGGGGATGTGAAAAACTATACGATGCCCCCTAGGGGCATCTTTTGG